AAGCAGCAGGGGAGGATTGAAGTCCATGCATTCAGACCTGTGTAAAATTAAGCTAATGGAGGTCTCTCATAGTCGCTTTTTTCCGAGGAAAACTAGCACGACTATATATATCCATACACATAGACATATACATATATATGCACATGACAATAAAATCAAAACTCGTGCCAGATTATTATAATCTAAACAAGCCTTTCTATTATTAACAATAACCCTTGAAGCCTGCAGTTACTTTAATGCCTCCCAATACTTCCAATTAACGTCTTATTCACACATGCATCTTCACCAAATCTGAAATTTTTAAAAAATAGTAAGTATGATGTTAACATTCAACGGTCTGCTCCACTTTCTACTTTTGAGCTACTTTATATATTCATGGTCTTGTTACGACCGAACACAAAATATCTCAACATCAAGTCAGATTTGACATACAAATCTCTGATTTTTTAACCTTAAGAAATATTTTTTTGACATATCAATCTGTACAAAATCTTTGCTACAATCTGAATTTATGACTTCTTGAGGAACTGCTACCAAATGAACCATCCAATCAAGAATGTGTCTTTTCATTCATATACGGGCAAAGACCTGATACTGCAATTACCTTATGTCAAATCATATGGAAATAATGCTCTGCTAATTATCAGAGTTGCAATGCTAAATCTGGTTACTGGGTTGAACCAATTGGCACGCTAAAACTAGGTGAACCTGGCGCCAGGAATCTCACATTAGATCAGGGGGAAATGGAAGGAAGTCTTGTTTATTATAGGATTTCCGCTGATGGCCAACATTAGTTGCCGCATGTGACACCAGGCCTGAGCCTACAGCCAATGCATTTCCACAACGTAAAACTATTGATCTATCTGTAAACTTAGTCTCTTTTGAAAGAAAACCATTTGCAGGCATTGGGCACATGGTGTAGCACAACCATTTTCTGCACTCAAACCAACCTAGTACACATTGGAAAAGGAGAAAAAAAAAGTTAGCAACAGGTAAAAACTTTACAATTAACGTAGAAATTAACCAAGAAAATTAAAATGAGGAAGGTAAAAACCATTTGTCAAGGAGATTGCCATGATTATATGAGGGATCGAATTATCCATTCTGCCAATGGATTGTTTTCTTTTTTCATTAAAAATTAATAATAGTATGTCAGAATAGTCAAACACCTTTTGGTTAGATATATAAACATAAAATAGGGTCAATTTTACCAGCAAAAAACTAGCTATTCTTACACCAGAATTCTTTATACAATTTATTATATACAAAAGTAACATATAAAAGTAATTTTAGGATTCCTTTATCCATGCTTGACGAATTTAAGGTTGATCAGAGAGTCTATTTATACACTAATTATATCAATTTTTTAACTAATGCTTTAATGAATATTATGGCAGCATACACACAGAAAACACACCGGAATTAATTGCTTCAATTCTCCATTCAAGGTTGAAAAGATAGGCTGCACATGTCCAGAAGTCCATGAGTGGTTGTACGTGTCACGCCTGTTCTCATGTACAGCAAAATATTTCTTTCCATACTTCATCACGGCCTCAACAACAGAAGCTGCAAAGTAAGAGAAAAATAGCTCAATACAAAAAAAGTATGTACAAAATTTGATTTCAATTTAAAAAGCTAAAGAATAAAGAATATATAAAAAGTCAGACTATTAATACCAAACCTGGAAATTCATTCTCCCATTCAGATGACTAGCAGGCGGAATTTTCATTGCGAAGAGAACACCAGGAGCGCCTGATTAATGTATCGGCAGACCGGAGCTTGTGTGAACTAGGTCCTTTCCTCAAATTATAGATGTTTGAAAAGTTGGGAGCATCTGGTCCAGTAGCTAGAGTTGCATCTGAGGAAAACTCAGAACCAACACAATCAAAAGAAGATGACTCCAATGACTTTTTGAGGCTCTTTCCAGGTGGTCGTCCTCTCCTCACGACATTTGGTTGTGTTTCACCCTCATCACTATCTTGCCTCAGATTCTCAAAGTCCTTTTTGGCCAGCTCTTGCATTGATCGGGCCTAACCAACCAGTCCAATCGCTTAAAATACAGAAACCAAAGGCAAAACAAGGGAATTAATACAAATTGAGACCTAGCCAAACCTGTCAAAAGTAAATTGTATCTGGTCCATTATCCTGCATTGCATTCGAGCATATCAGAAAAACATCTTTCTGCATGAATCGAAGTCACAAGTTTCAGATTCCAGTACTAGAACCATCAAGTATCCTGGGAGTTCAGGAAACTAAATCCCCTAAAACAAAGCTGTCACTACAACGTTTATTAAATCTAAAGACTATCCTCATTGGACAAGTCCAAAGCATTCATATTGACAAGAAATCATTTCATTAGGATTTTCAGCTTCTCAGTTAACCTCAAAAAGCAAATCACAACCTATAAAGTTGTCTGCTAGGAAAAGTGTATGCTGTTAGGATGCCAAACTAAACATAGCAAGTTCTATGATCAAATTTCACAAATTATGGGCAAATCATTGGCAGCACCAATTAACTTCTATTTTTATATAAATTTCTTTTAAAAAAAGAAGGTTAAAAGGCAAGTATAACGATGGTCCATCCTCTCAAACCAAATTAAAGAGTATTTCTAACTTAATTGACCAAAATGCTACCCCACAATCATAAACACAACCGGACTTAATATTAAGAACTAAAGCAGCATTGTCAACATCACTAAAGTACAATCTCAAAAGGTATAGCATGCCACCCTATTCTACAATGACTTGCTCGATTGGCAGCAAAATCTTGACTTGGTGTATACAATATTTCAGTGAAAACGCACAAAACAACCAGATAAATCCAGAAAATATCAACAGAAACTTAATCACCATTGAAGATAATGCAGTTAAACAACTTAATCAGCCTGTCCTCTACACCTTGTCGTAGGGTAAACACAAATATGAACATTTTATCTATATTGGCAAAGAGCAGTCTTGCGAAACAAACCTCAAATAGTTCCAAGGTTTTATAAGCTCCCTCATCAAGTTTTTTCCTGACCGTCAAAAAGTCCATAGGTTGTGCAATAATGCCATGGTAATCAGGAAGCTGTATCAAAATAAATCCGATATCTCATGAACTGGGATTTCACTTTTCATTAATTTACATTTATGCAAGAATGAAAAAGAAAATGCACCTCTTCGGGATCCACTAGCTCAGAGAAAACCCCGTAAGTGTCCTTCCTGCGAGTAGATTAAGCAAAAACAATCACAACCCAATAAAAAGAAGATAGGATACAAAAAGAAAAATCGAATGAACCAAAAGTAACACATACCTTTGGCTTTGAAGCCTGTCAAGCGTGAACACTAACAACTTTTTGTCTGGCAAACGTGTTGTGGGGCCAGACTCCACTGGTGACCCCGTCCACATATATGACAAAATTAAATTTAATTACCAAAACCCAACACGTTTTTTAAGAATTCCCAAATGCTTTTCATGAAAACTGAGATTGATTTATACCATGAACAGTGTCTGTCGCTTTCGAAACGTTTTCTCCCTGTAAACAATATGAACTCTCTTAGAAACAATATATATTTATATGTTTTATTTAACTCTCAAAATAAACCATAGGAGAGATATTTGCTTTGGTTATTGAAGAACCAGGGAGGAAACTTATGGTAAAAAGCTACAACAACTCAAAGCAAGTACAAGACGAAAAGAAGCAAACTGAGTTATTATTATTATTAGTATTATTAAAGAAAAGAAAAAGACAAATTGAGGCTTTTCAGCATGATGGTCTGCGCATCCATTATTTTGCACATAAATACAGGAGAGATTAAATACGACAAAAACAAAAGAATAAAATAATAATGGAAAATTTTTAAATTAGGAAATAAACAAAAAAAGAAATGGTGTTCAGCACAATTTCAAGATTACCAAAAATCCAATAATAATAATAATAATAACAGCACATGACTTAGTCAAACTCGGCCATTCATCTCCGATCCAATCACAAAAAATTCATTTGACAGGCGAAATCTAAAAATTCAATTTTAAAAAAATTTAATAAAAATCCAAACAAAAAAGATATATATTTTTTGTTTCTACTTACAGAAAAACAGGTACTTTAAAAAATCCAAAGAAAGCAATTTCGATTTTCGACGCCCAAAAATATATGCTAATGAACACCATTTGATCAGATCCAGGACGGAAGTTGGTAAATTTGTGACGCTTGAGAGATGCCTCAGGATCCTCACCATCCGCATTCGAATTGGATCCATAGGAGGCCGAATTGGGCCCCAAGGGAGTCGGATAATTCTGATGTTTACGAGAAGAACTAAGGCCAAGCAATAGCTTATGCTTCTTCTGTTGGCGCTGGTCGTCAACTCGTCATCATCGTCTTCTCCGGCAATCAAGTCGGGGACTGGGGAGCCTCCTTTAAGATGGGGCTTCCGGCGAGGATCGGTGGTTCGAATTGATAGAAGAATTAGCGTTTATGAGATTATGAGTTTTTTGTTGAACCAATTGCTGCTGCTGTGGTTGTTGTTGTTGTTTGCGAGGGCTTTTTTGGAGTTCTAAGAGAGAGGGTCTTCTTCCCTTCTTCTTCTTCCTGGTCATTGTCTCTGCAGCTGTCTCACCTCCCGTTGTTTTTTTTTTTTTTTTTAAACAATACTTGAATTTTGTTTTCTTTACTATTTAATTTTATTTTTCTTTTCTAATGGGGATATGTATATAATGCGCGCGAAGATGCCTGCGTGATAAATGCCACGTGAAATGGATGGATCATGGATGTGCCCAACTCTCACGTGAGACGAATTTGCTTGTGTGAGTGAGTGTAACCATTGTTTTTGTTGCTTTCTTTGTTCTTTTTGAAATACTAGTAACAAAAAGAAAAGGAAAGATAAAACAAGTAAGGAAAAAATAATTTCTTATAATTAAGTTTTCAAAGTTTAATTTACTCTTTATTATTATTAACCGACAATCTTAAAAAATAAGAGATAGAAAAAGAGATAAAGCAATCAAAAGTATTGTTTGGTCCTTCAATCAATCTTCCTTTCCTTTTTTTTTTCTTTTAAATTTTAAAATTTATTTTATGCATTGCAGCATGCATGTTTACACATCACAAACCCAATAAAGGGCACCAAAAATACAAATTGTTTTCCTAAAAATATAAATATACTCCATTGGTTAATTAGTTAAACAGGAATTTGTAACTGATATAACAAACACAAGAAGCAACCAACTTTGGAGCTTTTATTACCGACGTGTTGGAAAGAGCCGCGGGTACTCTTCTTGCAGGAAGAATTCAACGAAACACCCCGATGGCAGAGCCTCATCGATACATTAATGGTTTACATCTCTAATAGGCCCAAGGGAGGGGGAACCCATTAGCATTCAACTGCTTTCTCCAGGCCTCCATGTACTTTCAAATGCGAAGCTTGTCTCACCCTGGCTGTCAATAAGGTAGAATCCCATATTACCTCTCTTTTACACAAAAAAACAACCAATATGATATCAAATAAGAAGAAAAAAAAAAAAGGAATTTTTTTTGACATGACATTTCCAACTATACACAATTTTTTTTGGACCATTATTTCATGTAATTACAGGACAGAGGAAACCAATTGGTAAAGTCTTGACTTAGACACTTGGTATTTCCCTGATTGATGGATGCTTCTCTAATGGGTTAAAACATATGCTCAAATGTTATCCTCCTCAAACCCAAATACAAATGGACAATGAGGTGTTGGTCCTTTCCTTCCCCCCTCTGCAGGCTCGGCTGCTAGGTAAAAGCTTCAAACAAATGCTCAATAAATATGGTAAAAATGAAGTAACAGTGAAAGAGATGGTTAAAAAACTTAACAAGGACAAAACATGACAATTGTGACAATTGTAATAAGGTAGAGAGAGAGAGAGAGAGAGAGAGAGAGAGAGAGAGAGGCCTCTAGATATAAACATGACAATCAATAGTAGAGCAGCAAACATCTAAAATTCAAAAACCTAACCTCATTTCTTTCTCAAGTTGTGACAACTGTAATAAGGTATGTTTGTCCAATGAAAATCCTCCCATCTCTGCCTCCTTACAAACCTCCTTACATTTGGCCAGTCTCCCGGAAACCATATAAATACTGATCAAGTCCCTATATATGTCGTATGTTGGAGAGAAACCTGCTTCCTTCAGTTTCGAAAAATATCTCACAGCTCTCGAGAGATCATTCAAAGCAACCAAAACTTTTATTGCTACACGATAAGCAGGAAGATCGAAGACACATTCTGAGGCCTCCATTTCCCAAACCAGAGCCAATGCCTCCCTGTATTTCTTTTCAGAATAACGACTATGAAGCAATGTTGTGTACATGACCACACTTGGATCACGCCCAGATTGTTTGAACCAGTTAAACAAGCTCTCAACAATCTCGAATTTCCCAAGCCTAATGCAAACCTTCATGATGGCTGTACAGTCCAGCTGGCTCAAATTCAAATCATCTCTTACTCCAAGATCATCCAGTAAGTCCACCACAAGTATGTGTTTATCAGGATTCTTTCCAAGCTCCAACATTAACTTTGCATAAATGCTTGGATCCAACATTCTTTTACTTTGCTTAGCAAGTGAAAAAAGCTTCCAAGCAACGTTCAAGCTTCCACCTTTGATGAACCCCTTTACCATTGCCTCAATCAAACTCCGATTAGTCAAGCTAGTGAACTTCTCCAAGTCGACTGGCACTTTTAATTCACGGTTCCTTGCCAACACCTCGACAGTTGAACTCAAAATCCTATCATCCGGGAATAATTGAGGTTGCTCCTGAGCCCAACAAAAAGTTTGCAGAGCTCGTTGTGGAAGACCCATGTGACCCAATTCCCGGATTGTCATTGACAACGAACCTTTACGCAGAAAAGGAGCCCACCTATTTAGAACTGCAGACACATCTTCATCGAAAGCAAGGTCTTTAATCTTTCTGGCTAAGCCAATAAGAAAGTTTGGGTTCTTGTATAACTGTTTTGATACAGACGAACGAGAAGTTGCCAATTTAACGTGTTTCTTTGGCGTAGGAAATCCCGATGGTCGTAACTTGTATGGAAGTGGGAGAGGTAGAGGCCTCTCTCTGCCTAATTTTCCAGGCTTTTGAGGAATTCTTCCTCGAAAAAGTGAGGATATGGCTTCGACCTCATCTGATTCCCAAACAACATTGTTCCCCTCGTCTTCTTCTTCTGAATCATTATTGCGAACGGAAATTGAATCTATTTGTTGAGTGTCAGTGGCCGTGTCGGTTCCGGGCTTCTGCAAGAATAGGTTGACGCCAAAGTCAGGAGGAAGCTTGGTGCGACGCGGATAACGGAGGTTCTTGGGTAGCTTTCTATAGCTGTTGGGATATGCCATGGTAGTTATAGAACTGCTCTTTGCTGGCTTTTCTTTCAACGGTATGATAGGATATGCGGTGATGGATGAGAAGATGCAATCCATTTTGTTTCTTTTTGTTTTAGCTATTCGTGTCTTTCCGGTATGAAGCTTGTGCGGCGTAGATGCTTACATACTTTAAAGTCTTAACAGAAATATCTTCAAACAGTTTGTGCGTCCCTTACTAACAACTTATTTTGGATTTCTGCCTGTCACTTGAGAGTTGTAAGGATCAGGAAACCCACCGGGCTTGGCAGGCGATTGGGCTCTACCTAACAATCACGTATTTGGTGCTTATATATATATATATATATATACATATATATATATAATAAAATTGAAACTTTAAAAGGCACTTCTCATATCTCGGTTAAATAAAATCTTAGTCTTACCCCTCATTAGGCTGCATTGGGCCAAAATATCTTAGTCTTACCCCTCATTGGGCCGAATGTGTATAATTTGGTGACAAAACAAAATAAAAAAATCATTGGGCCAAAAGAATATACAATTGATTTTCTTAAACACAAAAAAAAAAAAAAATAATAAGAGTATAAATTCATCAATGAAGGAAACATCAGACCATTTACTTGTTTGTATCTTCTATTATATGTATGTATTATAACAGTCATTTCGGCTCCATGTAGCAGGTAATCATATGGGTGTGCTATTATAATGATTTCCCTTTCATGGTAAATGGTCATTCAACCAAAAAAGAAAAATTAAACAAAGAAAAAATTAGTGCTACCGGTACATCATTAAATGATAAATTAGCAAACATCTTATATGCAGTACAACCCCTTCCTTTTCCATTTTTCCCAGCACCCGTAATAACCACTGCAATAAAAATTCCTTGCGCTCCTCAGCTGGGCAACCAAACAAGGCTCTCAGCCTCTAACCCTCCACAAGTACTTTTCCCTTTTTTTTTTTTGGGCACAGAAGAGTGGAATACCACATACATTCTTAAGGCTCTAAGCCTTGCTACCCCTAACATATCCCCTGCATCAACTTGACAATTCCTAAAGTAGGATCAGTTAAAACATACAGAATACCACCTTAACCAAAAAGCCCAGCTAGCCATATAATCCGCACAAAAGCTTGCCTCTCTAAAAATATGTTGAAACTTGCAGTTCCAATCTCTACTGAGAAACTATTGACATTGATGAATTACATGATAACAAGGATCTGTCACTTGAACATTGCCCTTAATCTTATTCACTGCCAACTGGCAATTTGATTCAATAATCAATCGTCAAAACCCTCCATCCCAAGCTAACATCAGTCCCATCTGAATAGCAGCAGACGCCAGTTTTGCATGAAATGGTCATAACACCCAAAATTATGCTTCAGAATTTTATACGATTTTCAGGTGACCTTTCTCAATTGGCATCCCAATCCCTTCATGCATTTCATTCACCATATTCTCATATGCCATTGTAGTGAAAACCTTATCAACCCTGTTTCCCAGGCTCTGTTGGTGCAACAGTGCATCAATTAGAACATCATCCATAGGCTGCATCCACTTCAACACATCCCTTTTATTCACATTAATATTCTTAGATTTACCCATTTTTCTTACCTGCACATTATCAATAAGCTATTAACAATGATGGTAACTGAACGTATTATGCTCACATAAAGATTGGAAAGAATCAACTATAACCAAGTATTTAGGATTAAGAACAGTCACTCAGTTTACATAAATCACTAAATAAACAAAAATGCTATAGCAAATAGCATCTGGTGGATCCATATGAATTCACAAAAAAGAATGAACCACATGGCTACTTACTCTGCCTAGTTGCCAATTAAAAGAAACTGAAATGCACCCTTAGAAATGGGCACTTTCTAAATGCATATTTTGTATTTTTGCAATCACCTTTTTTGTTAATGAATGGACTTCACCCTTTTCATCTTTCAGTGCCTCTACACAAAATAGACCATTACATATGAATGGTTATAGTGGCACTTGCACATATACACTTTATATAGTCCAAGTTGAAAAATGGTCATTTGTAGCTTCATTGCCAAATTCATTCCCCACTTAAGGTACTAAGATGCATTATCTATCAAAAGAGTAGAATATGCTATTAGAGAAAATAATTAAATATGCATACACTGATAAAATGTGAGTAGCCTAGCAACTTTTTATACCACTATTTGATGAATTCATTACACAAACTCATATCACGGTAAATATTTGATAAACCGTAGCCTTTGAGACCTCCAACTAATTCTACCAAACATAGATAAAAAATAAATAAATAAAAGCTTCTTTATCGCATGTATATCAAGGATATAGGGTCAGCTTCGTCATCATTTAGAAAAAGTGAACCACGGTTTTAGGTTTTGCACACCAAGGTACACTTAAAGCGAGCAGATCACCAAATTCATTTGTATCAAAAAGAAGAAAACAAGGGAGTAGAAAGACAAAAAAATGTTGCAACGTAATGTGAGGTGCAATGAAAAGAGCATCAGCACAAAAACTTGTCAACAGGTGAACTTACCTGAAGTTCAGAGATCAAGTGTAAAAACATCATGTGCCCTAACTTTGCACCACTGCCACCAAAAACTAAAGAAAAAAAAGTCCCAAACTAATCATGAAAATCAAAAGATCGCATCAGTCTTAGTACAATGAGCCAATAAATTAAAACTGAAAAAACTAATCCAGAATCTTTGAGAAAGACTGACCAATTACAAGGTTAGATTGTAAACAAGGGCACTTCAATAAACACCAACGGTTCACCATAGGCACCATTGAGTCAACTGCATTGTAATTTCTTTTAGCTCAATCTTTCTTGCAAATCAAAAGAACACCCCAAGCCCCCAACTACAAACAATTCTCTTCGCTCTTAAGAATTTACAGATTTTCTGAGTTCTAAGAGTGTATAAAAGAACCCTAAACATTGATTAATCTAAGATGAACAAACGGAATTTACGAAACCATATTTCACTTAATAATAATAATAATAACTAGCAAAAGCAGATTCAATAATAAAAGAAAACAAGAACATGACAAAACCCTAAACAAAAGGATTAATTAATGAAAAGAAACCTGTTAAGAAGAGGGCGAGCTCGTCTTCGTCTTCATCGATTGGAAATTGTTGCCTAACATTACGGGCTTTTCTATATAAATATATATCCTACGTGCCTTGTATGCGCCTATTGTTCTCTTAAGCCGGCCCATTACTCTCAAGCTATTTTGACGAATTTGCCTTCTTAGTGAAAAACCCAACAAATAATAATAATAAGCGAAAACCCAAATACATACAGATATTAATTGACTATGACGAACCATGATTTTTAAAAGATTTGCGCACAAAACAAGTAAATTATCATTTTCAAACCTTTCGTGCTTACCACTTATGATTATTCCGTTAGGTAACTTCGCAAATTTTGAGAACCAACTCAACTTCCATTTAAGATTTTTTTTTCACCCATTTTTCCCATGCCAATTCAGCATTTATTTGACACGAAAAAAAAGAGTTGGGGAGGACATACACATAATCTGGAGTAACTTTATTTTTTTTCCATAACACTTTTCCTTTTTATGTACGGAACATTAGAACATTGACCATTGACCTTTAGCCGTGTATAACTTCGGGCCATTGACCAAATTCTAATGACCTGGACATTCAATCATAAAATATATAAAAAAACAAATAAATAAATCGTGTCAAAAACACGTTCAGCACAGAATAGATGACTCCACATCGATAATCAACGGCAACAGATAAACAATTACAAACCTCTACTATAAAAAGGAAAAAAGATAAAGGTCGTAAACCCCTAGACATCAAACAACCCTAATGATAAACCCTCCAATCCACACAAACACAACAAAGCAGCACCCACAAAATAATTATATATACAATAAAAGATGATAATACAAAGGAACTTACATATATAAATAATGAAAGGCTGATAATTAAAAGAAAATCTAATTAAGTTGAAATTAGAAACATGCAAGCATGAAAAATAATAACCAAAAACCAGAATTACAAACAAAATTATTGTTAAATCAAGAAAACAATTTAAACAGCCATGCAAAACCATCGAAAATTAAAACCTCAAGCTTGTCACGTTGATAAATTAACAGGTATCATCCCGGTTCGACAAAAATAACAGAAGCAATTATACTAATCAAACTGTTCAAAGGTTTTATCTCAGAAAAATAAAGTTAACAGAAGGGTTGAAACAAGCAGCAAAAGAATAACATGCACATTAGGATAAAAAGCTATAGATGAGGGCTAAATTCTCTACAGAGGATTTATCTAAGCCATTCATTTTAAAATGGAAAAAGTACATATAGCAGTAAATCTCCCATCTACAACTATTCTGAAGGTCAAAAGAAACCAACAGGATTCACGAGATACATTTTTTTCATTAGATGACATGGGCATGGACATCTAAAAGAGCAACATGGAAATATCAAAGCATTAACATAAGATGATCAAACACTATCACAGCCTACATTGACTATGCTATCCTCTCTGGATCTTCCTACTCATCATCATCTTCCTGCACATAAAAAGAAACCAAATTGAAGAAGGTCCAAAATAACCCGTCCAAAATAACCCACAAGATCAATAACACTGTAACAAATCGCAACTCACCTCTCCGCTGCCTTCATCATCATCCTCGTCATCATTCACCTCAGACACAGACTTCTCAGACTCTAAATCATCTTCTTTGGCACCCTCAGCCTGCAATTAGTCAATAAAGTTCATGAACTTATTAGCAACCCAATTAGAAACTTTTTTGCTCATCATATACAGAGTCTAACAAACAATTAATTTAAAAAATTAAATTAAATCACCTGTTTCTTATTGTAGGCTTTCATGTTCTTTTCATACTCAACCTTTCGCTTCTCTGCCTTAGCAATATAAGGTTGTTTTTCCTAAAATCATTTATTTTAAATTAATCGAAAGCATATTTGCACATACTTTTTAAAAGATTTTCAACGCTGAAAATAGCAAAATACTTACAGCTTCAGACATGCTCTTCCATTTATCTCCACCAGCTTTGCCAACCTGAATTTAACCACAAAAAAGAAAGAGAAAAAGCAAAATTAAATTAAAATAAAAGAAACCTATAAACAAACAACAAAAGCCATTGTTCACACTCACAGCAGCAACGGATTTGTTTTTAGGGTGATCTTTCTTGTATTGCTCACGGAACTCCTCCCTTAAATCAGGAAATCAAAATTAATGGATTAAATAAAATACAAAAGTAAACCAATAAAATCATTCCTCGAAGCTCATTTTTGCTTTGACCATAGAAGAATCGTATAATTCACCTCTTCAATTGTTGTTTTACGAAGAATATAAACGCCAGAGTTTTCCACGGAGCAAACGGAACAAAAAGATTAAAGAAATACCGACAAAAACAGGAGAGATTCGTGAATGATTACATGAAAACGAAGAAGGCGCTGGCAGGCCTCTTTGGCTTGTTTGGATCCTTGGCTGCCTTCCCCGATTTCTTTCCACCTTTCGTGATCGGTTTCTTATTCACGGAGAGCCTATCAACAAATCATAAAATAAAGTCAAATAGAGAGAAACGTAAATCCTGATCTAGATCTAAGATCTTAGAACAAGCAATCTGAAGAAGCGAAAGAAAATCGAAGAGAAAATACGAGAAAGGCTTACTTAGCGCTCTTAGTATCTGACTTAGATTTAGCTCCCTTCATGTTGAACCCTGCATTTAAAATCGCAGATCAGCGAAAAAAAACAGAAGAAATCAATAGCAAACGAGAAAATCCGTGCAAAAACGAGGGGAAATACCTGGTGGGTGAGCTAGGGTTAGAGTCGAAGAGAGAGAGAAAGAGATAGAGGAAAATATGTGTGAGAATGAGGGGCCGAATGGCGGAGATATTAAGTTGGGCAAATTGAAATTCAATTGCGCACGAAATGAAATTTGGGGAGGGTGGGGTGGTTTAGGCGGGATTTGGAAATTTCATGCCACGTCAGCGATCTATGTGCTCTTATGTTTATTGGCTGCGTGACTCGTAAGCTTTTGGCTTTGAGACCTTTCTGTGTTTCCTTTGTGCTTCTTCTTGCGTCTCAACATTGCAGCAGAGCAGACTTTTCTCCTTTCCTTTATGTTGACATTGGGTAAAAATTCAATTCCAGCCCTGCAATATATATATAAATAAAGTGGGCCGTTTACCATTCATTCCGAGCCCAATCTATTTATTGAGGGCCGGGATATAAATAGTTGATATTCATTATGGACTCTTTCCTGGCCCATATGTTAGTATACAACACATTAAAAGGAAGACTTGGCCCTAACCTTTTTGTCTGTTTGTAATCAATAAAAAGGAAAAAAAAAAAAAAAAAGCTGTCAATTACCAAACCAACAAAAGAGAAATGAAGTTCATCGGCAATCCTATTCTTTGTGCCCAGATGTTATGCACAAACAAATCTTCTATTAACACAACAGCTTTTCCATTTCATAGTTCTATCCAAAATGCATCAACAGTAAGTGGACATCATAACTTCAGAGAGAAGAAAAATAAAAACACTTTGGAGAAGATCTTACCATCCCTTGTTCACTATCATTTTGATAAATAAATACACAAACGGAGTTCTTTCATATGCAATAAATTATTATGTATAAAAGGAAATTAGTTGTCGGTTTCAAGAAGTGGATAATCTGTGTAACCAACAACAGGATCATGAGTGTAAAAGGTGTTTCTATCGTACTTGTTAAGCGCAGCATTAAGCTCAAATCTCCTTGGTAAATCAGGGTTAGCCAGAAACAAGCGTCCAAATGCAACAAGATCAGCACCATCCCTAGCAACCACTTCATTTCCGTCTTCTCTGTTGTACCCACCGGCCACTATAAACGTTCCTTTGAACGCCTTTCTCATTGGCAAGAGACTATCCTTTGTTTTTTGACTCTCAAATTGAGTGATCATCCTTGGTTCTATCATATGACAGTACAAAATCCTGTATTTGTTCAAGGACTCGGCCATGTAAAGCCCAAGGGCTTCAGGGTTTGAGTCCCCACTGTCATTGTAATCGGCAAAGGGAGAAAGTCTTACGCCTACTCTGTAAGCTCCAATCTCATCAGCCACTTCTTTAACTACTTCCAGAGGGAAGCGGCAACGATTCTCTAAGCTCCCTCCGTATTCATCTGTTCTATCATTCACTTGGTCCTTGAGGAACTGATCAATCAGATACCCATTAGCTCCATGAATCTCTACTCCATCAAAACCTGTAACTTCAAATCATTAATTTTCCAGGACATTCATATATATGCTACCAGCATAGTCTCTATAACCATTATAATCCAGACGGTTAGGCATATTTTTGCTACAGGGACAGGTAGAAGATGAAAACGAGCAGATGAAATTATTATGAATTAAATTCCCTGTCATGGAAAAATTGACAGTTCTACATAAGAGTTGGCCATGGATAGATGCCACCACTCATGTGAATTAAAGTGTAATTAATCCCCAGGCAAGCTGTTAAAAAAAATACCAGCTTCCATAGCATTTCCTGCTGCCTTTCTGAAGTCATTTACGACTTGTTTTATCTCATGGATCGTCAATCGACGAGGAGCTGGGAAAGCTGCTTCTGTTGTGCCATCAATGTGAGTCTTAGCTTGTATTGGTTTGTCTGTACAAGAGATTGGGGGCTGCCCATTAGGTTGGAAACCTACATATGAAACCAATATATGGAGTTCCATTACTGCATCTGCATGCACTATACTATATATTTAGAAATGATTCTGCTCTTAGAGATGAGGAAAATGTGAAGAATTACTCACAATAATCAGAAGCTCTACCAGCATGCCATAATTGACAAAAGAAAATGCCCCCCTTCTCATGAACAGCATGCACAATTGGTTTCCATGCCTCCACTTGTTCTTTCGTCCAGATGCCAGGAGTATTTGGATAGCTTCAAATTTTTAAAGGTTTAATTTGTAAGTAAGTTGCAGTTCAAGTCATAAGATTAATTTCTTGATATAAAATATACATATGTATATATATCTATAGTTTCAACAAAAGGAGTATAGGATTAATGTGTAAAATTAAATTACCCTTGAGCAGTCTCTGAAATGCCAGCTGCTTCTCCGATCAAGAAACCACCTCGTGTTGTTCTTTGGGAATAATACAAAATGGCATGAGGTTGAGCAACAAAGTTGTAAGATCTCAGTCTGGACATGGGTGCCAAAACTATCCTACAAAACAATTTATTTAAACAATATATGTATATACTAATTATTATTAGTTATAGTGCAGTAATTATTTACTATATTGTATATACAGACGTTGAAGCTCATGACATGCCAAAAGTAATCTTCCAATATTTTGAAGGTTAGCTGATCTGATTAATCACTTGTTATTAGCGACATCATGAAAACATCAGGAAATTAAGAGAAAGAAAAAAGAATCGCACACAAGTTTTAAGAAGGATCAGAATTCAGAAACATTGAGAGCTCAAATTTTTACACTACTACATGTGTTGAGGAACTCAAATTTAATTCTGTGGTTTTAAACTAATTTGGAAATCAAATAAATATATATACATATATAGAGTACAAATCAATGAAAAAAGTCCCAATCAAAGTAAAAAAGTAGAATGAAATTAACATGCCTGTGAGAGAGGCTAAAGCTTCCAATCTTAAAAGGATTGAGGAGGAGAATCATTTCCGTTTCATCTTCTGTAGTCATGATTAGACGCCTTATTCCCTCTTCACAATATCCTTATCATCTCTTTCAAATAATTCTGCGTTTGCGGTTCGCAGTGAGGACGGAGGAATTTCGATCACTTAGTTTTGTATTATTATATGACAAACAAAGAGCTAGGTCCACCTGCTACCGTCAACAACTTCCACAAAATGACGTTGTAGCTACCGTCAACCACTTCCACAAAATGACGTTGTAGCGATCACAATTTCTAACAATTAAAAATGTCGTTGCAAAATACTATTGTATTTGTAATAATTTTTTATAGTCGTTTTTTATTTGATTTTTTAAAATATTTTATTCAACGATATTTTTTATTGATGTAAATTCCTGTAACGATAAAAAAAAATTTTATGAAATCATATTATATTTGCAACATCATTTAATACTAAAAAAGATGTTTTGAAATATTATTAAATTTGTAATAAATTTTTTTATTGTTCTCAAATAAATTTGTTTAAAAATATTTTATAAAGCAATCAAAATAGTTATTATGAAACACAAAGTTATCGTTGTAAAATCTTCTCCAATTTATAATGGTTTAAAAAGCAGTTGCGATATTATATTATATTTGAAACAACTTCTTAGTTGCTTAATCAAAATGTTTTACATTAAAATGAATTTTCTTTTTCTTTCAATATAAAGGCCTTTAAGTAGCAACTAGAAGAAATTTTCATCTAACTAAACCTAAATCAATATTTTCATGTCTCAATCAAAGATCTCTTTGAGGTTTGAAATAAATATCAATATATATATATATATATGAGGAGTGATCTATTTATATCATTGTAAGTGTTACATATTTTCTGAATTTTTATGAAAATGACTAAATGTAAGTATTATGAATATAATTTTAATCCAAAGATAAAAAAAATTTATAACTTTTATAATAATATAAATGGATCTCTACTATATATATATATATATATATATATAAGGAACAAAAAAAAAAAAAAAAGTGTCATCATATTAAAATTTTATATCTTGATATTTTTCCATTTAATAATATGACGTGAAACAAATATAAAACAAATACTATTTGAATAGAAAGGATGGGAACTAGTATTTCTTCACTATAAAAAACAAATAATTTAGTGCATCATAGTATGAAAACATATCTAAATTCTTCACTGAGTTACAACAAACCTTTTAAGATTTCATGTGATTTGTTTTTTCATTAACTTTTTCTTTTTATCCATATTTGATTATATTATGAATTGCAATGGATTAATAAATTTTAGTTGAACTAAACTTATAAATTTTTTTTAATCTAAATTATGATTGGTTACATAAATAAATATTAATATTACTTTTCAAAATATCATAATTGGTAAGCTTTCTGTGCAATTAAAATTTTTACTAAAATTAATTATTGTAATTTATTAATTTTTTATTTTAATTCATATATAAATTTAAAAAAAAAAAGTTATATTGTAGCAACCTGCGTTAACGTTAGTACGTCTTTTTCCCATTCTTCTTTCTCTACAAAATCACAAGTGCCGACATAGCACAAAACTCTCTCTGAGCAACCCGATGCCCTATCCCTCTCCTTCGCCTGTAAGTCCCCATTCTTCCCATATGCCGACGACCAACACTTCTCATTTATCGTCCCTTTCCTTTGTTTTTTCTTCTTCTTCCTAAATCATCGAGAGACACAGCCATCATCCTCAAGGAAACCCGATTGCCTCCCCTTCCCTAGAGACGGCAAGTACCCTATTCCATCCCCCTTTCTTTCAGCGAGCTTTGCCCCCTCTTCCTTCTTCGAGTCTCTCCCTTTTCTTTTATTTATTCCTTTTAAAATTATTTCATTGTTATTATTTTTGCTTTTAATTTTTTTACAAAACTTTTCTTTCATTTTCATAACTTTGAGGTAATTTATTTGCTTCAATTTTAATTTAACTTATATTAGGGCGTATTGATCTCTGGACTTTGAACAATAAAAATAATTTATATTCTAAATTTTAATTATATTTTGATTTTGCCATATCAATTATTTGATTTTTGTTTTACGGGTATATTATATTTCTTTGTTTCACAATTAATTAATTAACCAATCAATTTAGAAAAAGCCAGACTTTGAATAATTTTTTTTTTTGTATTCTATCAAATATTTGTAATTTTGTTGGCTTGATATGAAAAATGAGCATAATTGCTGCTTGCAGGTGAAACAAACTGTAGAAAATGTTGATGAAGCAGTGAGGGATCTTCCAGGCGCCAATACGGTAATGCTTGAATGTTAATCCCTTCTCCTTGAAACCTCTCTGTCTTAAAAAAATCTAACAACAAATTTCATTGCCTGCAGAATCCAGAAGATTTATGTATTAATCATTCCCAGGTGGTTATGAAAAAATTTTAAGAGAAGAATTAGGAAGAACAGATATTGTAGCATCATTCTCCATTTTATCTTATACTTGTATCTGACATTTTACTCTATATTGTTCCATTCTGATCCCTTACACATTCAGTATATATGTGATTTTATATCTCATTACTCTTGTAATTTGTAGGTTCTTGATAGTGTGAGAAGGGATAGGTCTAAAACATTGTAGGCTTGTAAACCATTGGGATTAGGTCAGGCGACACTGGCAGGTTTGTCTAATTAATCTGCCATTATACACTCAATTTTGTAGGATAATTAATGTATATTCTGTCATACATGTTTTCATGTCAGCTAATTTTTTGGTAGTGTGCATTTGGTGGAACTATGTGGGACTGACTTGTTCTTTGTGATGAAAGTTATGGATAAAGGTGTTATGCTTAACCCAAACAAGGCATTTGAAATTGCATTGATTATGAATATTAAGCTTCAAACCCAGATGGTCATTTGTTTGCTATCTAATGGTAAGTCTGGTAATGCATATAACTATGGTACTAGGACCAGCAGATGAGCTCCCCTTTGGTTTAAATCTTCAATGTTTTAGCTTGTTAGTTCAGTAATAGTGAACATGTAGCGGGCTTTGATTAAGTTTACTAGAAAGTTTAAGATAAGTAGGATTTTAGTAGTCATTTAGTATTGATAATACGATTGAATTGTCCTTTAATTCATTTATATTTGATTTAAGTTCATATTTTGTTATTTTAATGCTTATGCTAAATAATTCCTTTTTTTTTTTTTTCTGGCACTGGCAATGACTTTTAATTATTGGCATGGAAAGAGTTTCTCTATGAACGAAATGATTATCAAAAAAGCTGTGGAAACTAGAGTCAAAGAGTTGTCTGGATTCCTTTGGGTCAACATGTCGAGCAGCAAGAGATACTAGAATGATCTTCTTTCCTGGTAATATTAGTTTTTTCCTAACTCTTTCACAATTTTGCAAGTGAAAGCTATTTTTCCAGTTTCTTAGTGGAAGCTACTGATTTTTCTCCTTTAATTTTTGGTCCATTCTTTTTGTTGGCATCTATGATTAAAAGAATTATTTGCCTACTTCGTAGTAAAGATCCTAATTAACTTGATTGAACTTCAATTTTGTTGCAGGGTTGAGGCAGAGTTGTCGCAACATTTTTCGGTAAAAATCGAAACCTCTCCAACAGTAACTGCTAAAAAACCCTTTGCTGCCTTTGATAGAGCTGTTGAAGACTCATGGGAAGCTTGTTTGTCGGTACTCCTAAGAAACCAATTGAGTTACGAGCCTTTTCAAAGCAGATGTTAAATACGGATTTGTCAAATACTGACTTTTCATTGACACAACAATTTTAAGTTTATATCGACTACGTCACTTGTTATATTAAACTTTGAGAAGATTGTAATTAATAATAAATAACTATATTACCTTTCAAATTAATATTATTTTCTATTTTTTAATATTTGTATGAATTTTTCAAATTCTTTGATGTATTTAAATAAACATTTTAAAATTAATAAAATTAGAGCTAAATATTTTGTTTACTATTTATAACAACAAAAATATTGTTGTTAAAGATTATTTGCAAAACAATAATATTGATTATTAAATAATTTTAAATTGTTGCAATAAAAATTGAGAGCATAAAATTATGGTTTCATAAGAATTTTGGTAATAATTATTGTCGTTATTAAATTAATTATTATAATAATAAAATTATTATTGTCAAAAATGATTTACAACAAAACAAATAGTGTTACTAAAAATTTTAAGCAATTAAAATAATATTGCTACATAAAACTTTTAACAACCAAATACGTGGTTGTTAAAAAAAGATTTGACAACCATCTTGAATTGTTACTTAAAATATAATTTATTTACTAACAACAAAAAATTATTATAATAAATATTTTTTAGACAATTTTTTTATACATTAAAATTTGTTGCATATATTTTTAATAACAAAAGTACGGATAACAACCTTACAATGAATTTTTGTCGTTACCAAAAAAATTTTATAATGATAAATTGATATTTTGCAACGACATCAAGTGTTGCTAAACCTTTTTTTTTTTTTTGAGTAGTTTACCAGCAAAAGCTATCGAATATTATTAGCTCTCCTTTGTTCAATGAAAATGACAGGACGTGTTTGAATATGCACTTTTAGCCCAATCATGAAAGTTGAACAAGAAGCAATCCAAATACATTGAATTTTGTTTTCTCATCAATTCTATCTTTAGACTTGACATCAAAGGTTTATTAAGTTCAAAGTACGAATATTCTGGTAATGTATTCTTTTTTCCTTTGCATAAATAGGTATTCTGGTAATTATATATTCTTCGCAAAATAATGAGGTGTAAGAGAACATAAGAAAGAAAAAGGAGTTAACTAACATTCTGTTGCTTGATTTCTTTTCACTAATAAAAGTGTTCCTTTTCAGCAATCAACAGGATCAAACTGTTTTGTCTAACTTGCTTGTTTGCTGGCTGCCACTTGAAGCAGCTAATCAACCACCCCTAAATTTAGCAGCAGTCTCTTGATTTACATAGTTAGTAATTGTAAATGCATGAGATTCTAATTTGAGACAAAGAACCGAAATCCCCCCGATAACAGCAGAAATTTCAATAATCGGTGTGGCAGAGATAAAGCAAATAAGCATTGTTGACAGTTGGATTTGGCACCGTCCCTTCTGGTTCATGGCTGCCCCAGTTAAGTTACCAAAAAAAAAAAAAAAAGTTATCATATGAATTTTCAACGTTCAAAGGCCTCTTTGATTTGGTCATTTATTTTACTTGGAATGGAAACTAAAATTCAATTTCAAACGTAGTTGACGGAAATACCCTCCAACGGCTACCGGGTGTAGTGATTGGGCAGCTGAAATCCAATAGCAGCTAAAAAGCTCCATAATCAGACACAAAGTTACCCGCGCGACCCGGCACTAAAATGCGCTGGGCTAAAGCTAATGACAAAGAAAGAACCTTCTCCTCTCCGCTAATTTATGCATTTTTTTGCTCCCTTGATTCCTCAGTTTCTAATCAAGCATTATTTGCTAGCTACTAATTACCATCTTTGCGGCCGCTTCTTCCTCGATAAATTGAATTGAAGCAGATCATATTCAAAGGGTATGGCTCTTTGTAGACAAAAAGTGGTTTGGTGAAGGAGAAAAAGCCTAACTAGCTAACAGGGGAGAGAGAGAAAGAGGAAATGGAGTGGCAAAATCAAGAAATGCAACAACAAGGAGAAGAAGAGTATTTGCAGTACCAATTTCAGAATGGGGTTTGCGGGAAGGTGATGACTGACGAACAGATGAAGGAACTGAGGAAACAGATAGTTGCATATGCGGTTATTCTGAGCAGCTTGCTGAGATGCACAAAGCCATGTCCGTTTTGTTTTTTTTCCCCTTTTATTTGTGCCTCTGATGTATGTTTTTTGGGTTTTGGTCTTTACTTTGTTTGTTATAAATGCATTTGGTCGTGAACTCAATGCTTGATTGATGTTTCTGTCTATCGACTTTCAGATGAGTTAAATTAGGTGTTTCTGCATATATTCTCGTTTCATGTAAATTTGAAGTACATGTAATGTCAGTGAATAAGAAGCATGAATTAGAAAATTGTTGGCATGGGTGGCTCTACCTTTATGGATGAATATTTCGTTCAAAATAAGACAACAGAAGCTGATTTTGTTCTGTAAGTGGCATTTATATTTGTTAAACATCATTCCTTCCCCCAAATTGTTTTCTCTAAAATTCTCTGGCAATAATTAAGACCATTCATTGGCAAATGAAGACTGAAGAGAGTATCAAATTGGCCAGTCATTCTCTTTTCCCTCTACTATTCTTGCTTAATTGCCTGCTGGTTATAAAACTACAATGCTAAATTGGTTTTGCATGTATTGACTTCGCTACACCTATAGCAGCGGTCTTGTAATGATGCTCAGACTATATGGCCTATAAAGGATTTTTTGGTAGCTTTCTTGTAGGCATAATCCGAATGAATTATATATGGTATTAATGTGAAATGATTTAGGACTTCATTGCAAATTGCGTGAGTGTTTCTCAATTCTCATTGCTACTATAAATATTAAAGTTTCTGTGATTCAGGAATAAGGTTGGGAAATCCCTACTGTGATCCAATAGTGGCCACTATTGCCCACAAGATCACTGCTAGACAGCGCTGGACTCCAACAGCATTGCAGCTTCAAATTCTGGAGAGTATATACGACGTCCAAGGAAATGGGACTCCAAGCAAGCAAAAGATCAAAGAGATAACAGCTGAACTGGCACAACATGGTCAAATTTCTGAAACAAATGCCTATAATTGGTTTCAGAACAGGCGTGCTCGTTGTAAAAGGAAGCTTCAGGCCTCTGATGCAAAAGGTTTGGCTACAAACGAGAAAAGGACCAAACTAGAGAGTCTGGAGTTTATTGATAACTCTGTGCAAGGGGTTGAAAGCATTTATTTGCGAAATTTTGATACAGGTATCAAAATAGTTATTGCTTTAAAATTTTACTGTAGTTAATTTGCGAAGATGAAGCAGTTGGTTTTGGATTGAAATTCTACCTTTTTTGTTTTGTGAGCAGGGATTGACCAGTTGATTGGTGAAGTGAGATCTCCACGAGGCTATGATCCTTGTAATAATCTGGTTGAACAATTTGGCTTGCTTGGATGATGCCTTGGCGATTTCTTGTCATGCTTGGAATGAACCTGTTGGAACTGATTTAGGGCGGTCTTTCCAGAAAGAAGTGTTTAACCCACCGAATTCTCAAGAATCTCAGCTAGATATAATTCCAAAAAAGTTAGTTGTTTCTTTGTTTTTTTGCGTGATTATATCATTATTAAGTTAAGCAAGGTAAGCTGTGATTGGTTTAAGAGTTCCTTGTTATATATATATTCATATATATACACACACACAAATATATATAATTGTGTTTAGTTTGTGTGGCTGTTCGTTTTAGTTTTTTTTTTTCACGAAACACGTTTTATTAATAATAAAGATAAAACAAAGATGTATAGTTCATTTTAGTTTAAATGCTTTATATAAATAATTTAAATTATAAATTACATATCATTAAATTAATAAAAGATTTTATATTTAATATTAAAAATATCGCTTTGATTATTATTTTTAAATAACATGTATAACTATAAAAAACATAATATAATCTAATATATCTAATATATATTATATTATAACATATATAATTACCATATAAAGTTTGCTGATGTGGATGCTTATGTAAATAATTTTTTCTTTTTATATTTCAAAAAATTACTAAAATTTTTCTTTATAATAATATATAAGATATTTTTTTAATTTTAGATTTTTTATCAAAAAATAAATTTCAAAATTTATTTAATTATCCAAAACTTTAAAAATTTAAATGAAAAACCAATTTAGATTTAAAATAATTAAAGGGATAAAATTATTATTATTTATTTTGGTAAGATTTTATTTAAATAAACAAAATTAATTCTTATTTTTTATTTATGGATTAAATCATTTTATTTAAAAAATTATTGGTTATCCAAATCTTTCTAAGATATATTTATTTGAAAATTTTAAATTATCCAAACTTTTTTCTTTTACTAAAAAAATTTATCTTTATTTGTCAAATACACCTTTAAATATATCTTTTTATTTTTAAATTTTAATTTTCTAATAATTTTATAATAATTAGTTATATATATGGGTCTGGACATGGGATTAGTCCTAGATGGGCAAATAGCGAGTAGAAAGTACAATTGTTTTTAATCTATAATTACTTATATTTTTATTGCCTTTACAATTAAAATTATAGTATTAATAATTGTAAAGTTTGCCTGTGGCATATAAAAAACTTAATCTACCATTTTCAATAAAAATAATAATTTTTTTTTATTTTTTAAATTAATTATATATATCTTAAATTTTACAAATATCAAGTATAATTTTATCTTAATAGATTTCATGATAATCTTCTATTATTTAAAAGAATCAAAATTAATCACTTAATAATTTATACATGATTGTTTAATATTATTCTCTAACATCAATTTGATTTTTTTTTTCATTGTTCTCCATTTTTGTGTTATCTGATTTTCCTTTTATATTAAAAAGTGAAAGTTATAAAAACTTTTTTCTTATTATTTCTTAATTAATCGTTTATAATTTACTGGCCCTTATATATTTTGATGAAAATGGAGCAATAATACAATCAATATATTATAAAGTTAACTAGAATTTTATAATTTTAATCTTCTAATCTTTCTCAAATGTTTCAAAAATATTCTAATTTCGAAGTTATAAGTAATCAAATGATACACCAAGTTACTAATGAAAAAAAATATTTTTTCAGCATTTATTATTATTTTTAGATACTTATAGTAAGCACACAATCTTTAACTTTGATTTTTTTTTTTATATTACAATATGTAAAGTTATATAAATATATATATTTTTATATTTTGTAGGGGCTGTCTATAAACCTTTTCTTTTTACTTTTGACTCTTCGTTTAATTAGGTAATATTTTTTCTTTCAATTGGCTTTTTTTTTTTTCATATATTACAAAGTGCAAAGTCACAGAAAATATTTTTTCTTTTATTTTGTCAATATTATTTATAAACCTTTTATATTTATATTTAACTTTTCACTCAATTAAATAAATTTTTCTTAATTCAGCTTTCTTATAATATGCAAAAACACTTTCATTAATAGTCTACTTAATTACATTGATTTGAATATATTATTTATATAAAAATATTGTTATAAATAACAATAACTAATTAATTTTTGAAATCATATTTTATGTATGTAATATAATTAGCTCATCAATTAAAATTTTGTATAAAAATCTGTAATTTACTATACTTATTCCTCTTCAAAGTCATAACACTTTATGTTTATTTATAAAAAAGTTAGGATAAATTGAAATCTAATTTGATTTGATTCTTTTTAAATTTTCAAATCAAATATCATTTAGTAAGCACTTGATTTTTTTTAAACATAATTTTAAAAAAATATGAATTTAAAAAATTAAGAAGTGTTCATAAATTTGATGGCATCCAATTGTAAACATTTTTAAATTTTAGATTTTGTTTCAAGTTTGACTCAAATTACCTATTCAATTTATATTTATTATTAAAATGTTAAAATTTTATAATATTAAATATATTTTAAATTTTAAATTAAATATTTTTTTAATATAATAATCTTTTGAATATATACTTAAAAATTTATACATAAAATCATAAATTTGACCTATAATCCAACTAAGAATAAGTCTACTTCCTAATAAAGTTAAAAAAAAAATTCAATTATGGTCCATTTATTTTTTTTTCTTTGCTTGAATTTTGAAAAAATTCATTAACCCGACATGAATATGAATTTAAAAATATGTATTTTTTTAATTTATTTTAATTAGTTTAATTCAATTAAATTTTTTTAACTAACTTTCTAAGATATAATTGATATAAAATTATATATTTTTCATATGATAAATAATATTATCATATGAGATTATTTAGTAAGAAAAAAATAATTGAAATTAAAAAAATATTTTGTGATTTAAAAAAAAAAACTATAATTAACAGTAATTTATAGGACTTTTTTGTTGTATTTTAACTATAAATTAATTTTAAACATAAATAATTAGATATATATGATTTTGTTTTTCTTTTAAATTTTTAAAATTTGAATAACTAATAATGTTTTAAATATATTTATTTGATAAATAACATAAAATTAAAAATGATATTATTACATATTTGAAATTAAAAATAATATATATAACAAGAATAAATTACTATATAATTTATTATGAGTAAATCATAAGTATATAATGAGAATTAAAAATGTATAATTTATTTTAAATTATCCTTCTGCCTGCTCCTTCCTTCCTCATCTCACACTACCGCCGCCGGTCCTTCCATCATCATCTCACCTGCGCCAATGCTCCTGGTGATCTCTTGTCTTAAGAAGGAGATCCCAGCTTCCCGATCTTGTAGTTGTGATTGAAGCTGGTGAACCTCGGCAAGAAGTTATCCGGCAATTTTCATTTCCCTTTGGCTTCATTAGCAAATTCAGCTTTCATGCTCGAAATGTCAATCGTTCAGCAAAAATATATATTTTTTGGTTCAAATAGGTTATAAATAGGTAAATAGAATATTGATCGTGTCTAGTCGTTAATCTTAATCGCAAAGAAAAAACGTGATTTTCTTTTCTTTCATTTAAGCCAAAAAAAGAAAACATTTGTCAGATGGTCAAACCAGCAACCGTGAAGAGGTTTTCCATGGCGTTTCATTTCCAGCGAATCCAAGGATCGTGTTTGAGTTTTAACAAAGCCAGGTACCATTTGCCCTGCATTAGTTCGTTATTTTCTGCGTTCCAATTTTCAACTATGAATGGTTTCTCAGATTCCTCAGTAAAGGAACCTTATTTTGATCAAATAAACAATCAGTCTAACGTCGACGAGCGTCGCGTTCTCAGTGAACTCTCCGACTTGTTCCAGTTTTCTTATAGTAAGACGACTATTCCAACTCCATACAAGGAGAGTTATCCGATGAAACAAATAGAAAGTAGAACTGTTGATGAATTTTTATTGCCTGAAGAGAAATTGCGAGGGATTTTTCTTCAAAAATTGAAGGGGAAAACTGCAATTGAACATGCATTGTCACATGTTAGCGTGGAATTAAGCATCGATATTATTGCTAAGGTCATAAATAGGGGGAATTTAGGAGGTGAAGCTATGGTTTTGTTTTTCAATTGGGCAATTAAGCAGCCGGGGATATCAAGAGACATTCATACTTACTATATAATCATTAAAGCGCTAGGTAGAAGAAAATTCTTCAAGTTTATGATTGAAATTCTGCATGATATGGTGAAAGAAGATCTACAACTTGATTTGGAGACATTGTCAATTGTAATGGACAGCTTCGTTAGGGTTCGGCAAGTGCATAAAGCTTTAGAAACGTTTGGGAACTTAGAAGAGCTTGGATTGAAGCGGGATACTGAGTCTTTGAATGTGCTTTTACAGTGTTTGTGTCGACGAGCTCATGTAGGTGCTGCAAATTCATTGTTCAATGCAGTGGGTGGGAAGATAAAGTTTACTTGTGTGACATACAATATCATGATGAGTGGATGGTCAAAATTAGGTAGAGTTAGTGAAATGGAGAGGATATTGAAAGCAATGATAGCAGATGGATTTACTCCAGATTGTTCAACTTTCAGTTACCTTATCGAGGGCTCAGGAAGAGCAGGGCGGATTGATGATGCTGTTGAGATTTTTGAGCAAATGAAGGAGAAGGGCTGCATTCCAGATACTAGAGTGTACAATGCAATGATTTCTAATTTTATTTCTATTGGGAATTTTGATGAATGTGTGAAGTATTACAAGGGTTTATTGAACAGTAACTCTGACCCTGATTTGGATACTTATACGAAACTGATTTCTGCTTTTCTCAAAGCTCGAAAAGTGGCTGATGCTCTTGAAATTTTTGAAGAGATGTTAGTTCAAGGGATTGTTCCCACTACAGGGTCTTTAACATCTTTTATTGAACCATTATGCAGCTATGGTCCACCACACGCTGCTATGATGATCTATCAGAAAGCAAGGAGATTTGGCTGTAAAATATCACTTAGTGCCTATAAGTTATTGATCATGCGGCTATCTAGATTTGGTAAATGTGGAATGATGTTAAATTTGTGGGAAGAGATGCAAGAAAGTGGTCATACTTCTGATATGGAAGTTTATGAGAATATCATTAATGGACTTTGCAACATAGGGCATCTTGAAAATGCAGTGCTTGTTATGGAGGAGGCTTTACACAAAGGGTTTTTCCCAAGCAGGTTGATATGTAGCAAATTAAATAATAAACTGCTTGCTTCAAATGAAGTAGAGAAGGCTTACAAACTATTTTTGAAGATTAAAGATGCTCGCCGTAATGAAAATGCTCAGAGATATTGGCGAGCTAATGGCTGGCATTTTTGAGTTGGCACATTTATTTGTGAATTGTGACTAAGGCAAGTAAAGTTTGCCTTTGTAATTTGTCTATTTCATTCAACTAGTTTGTATTACTAAGGTAGTTATTTTAGTGGTGTTCTTACGGTCTGTGTTTGAGGTTCCTCGAATTATTTCATTGACTGCAGGTACATGTGTTGATTACATCATTTAGATGATGTTTTGGTTTACACGCAGATTGTCCAAAAAGCTTTTGAGCTCTTTGGTTTCATGAGGGCTAAACTCCAAATTGCCAAAGCGATATTTAAATATGGATAATGCTGTGAAGGGCCTAGTAAGGAAACACCATATTATCATTGGAAGGAGTAAACTTTGGCTTTTCATTTGGTAACGATAGTTTACTTCTTATTTTGTTGCATTTTGTCTCTCAACTTACCTCCTTCAACTTTACAATGTTCATTCCCTAGATTGTCAGAATTATTGGTCTTGGTAACACTATCTGCTGATTCTTGCTGCTTTATTAAGCATGCTGTCTTTTTAAATTTCTAGGTTCCAGAACCCACTTAAATCATTGGCATTATGAAGTATCCTGTTACTAGGCAGAGTTACACTTGATATTTTCATCAAGTTGGCTGCCAGCCTGTTCTGCCTCCTGTTACCCTGAATTTAAATAGGACAGAGTGGCATTTTGATGTACTTGATGAGTTGATGAAGCTTGCTAGAATACTTAGTTCTTTGTCATCATGTTCTCTTTCATTTTATTCTTTTAAATTTTGAATGATTGTTCTTTGTTTGCAGTGAGATAGTTGTTCACCCTTAGTTCCTATAGACAAGATCTTGAAACCTGTTCTGATTGAGCATGTGACTCCATTCATGCATTAATGTAGCCTGACGGTACCTTTAGTTATTCTTTATCTTTAATATCACATGGCAGGACTTGGACTCTGAGGAGTGCTGAGATTTTTTTGGATCAAGTGATTTTGGTGTACACCCAACAAGAACAGAATCCCCGAGTGCGGAAAGCATTTATGATAAGAAGAGTCCATTCACATTTGAAGACTCTGTTCCCAGCAGTCCGCGCTTCAAGTTTGGAAACTCTCCAAGGCATCAGTTTGACAGTTTCTCCAGGTTTGATTCTTTCAGCATGTATGATAGTGGATTTTCACAGCAACCTGATAGGCTTACAAGGTTTGACTCCATTAACAGTAGCGGAGACTTTGGCAGTGGATTGTCATCAGACCATCAGAGTCCAAAGAATGGTTCTCATAATTGGAGTGCTTTCTAGCTGGTAATCCAAAAATATAAGAAACTGGAAAAAGAGAACAAATTTTCCCTTTGGCTATTCTAGTGTGCTTTTTTTTTTTTTCAGTTTTTGTTGATCGCCTACCTTTCTTTCTCTGTAGGCTGTATATTCTGCAACGTAGTATTGGATTGTTGTAAAGTTGTACGGTGTGGCCTTGCTTTATTTATATTGGGACATTTTTTGGGAAGTTTGGAATGCCAGAATGAGAAGAAGAAACATGCTTGTAGTTCAAGTGCCATATTCTTGACCGGAAAATTAGAAAAGAAAAATCCAGTTATTTTGTCTCTTAATTTAAGTTGCAGCAACTTAATATATTGATTATGTAGTGACCGTCACAGTTGTTGTATTTGCCATGTAATTTGCCTGGCTTGGTCAGCAGTAATAATTTAATGTTTGGTTGGTAGAATTTTGGTTGCTTGGCTGCTTGGCTGCTTTGGCTTGCTGGTGGTAAAAACTATATTGCCATTGTGCGTGCTCAGCAGCCAGCCTAATGATATATTTTGATTACTCGAAAGTAGTGCATGAAATGAATAAATAAAGGAGAAGTCTGCTGTAGAAGTCGTACAGGTAAAATCTCTGTGGCAGAAGTGGTTGATCCCCGCTGCGCTTTGTTAGTCGAAGCAGTTCGGGTTGGGGTTGAGCCATGGTAGTTGTTGACCATGGTAATTCAAGGTTTATATCCCCTGCCAACCATAACCAGGTGTCCATGTGCACTGGTCGTTTCTCAGGCTTAAAAATACTTGCCCCTCTCCCCTTTTGAACCACATACCATACTACTAGCCATGGAATGAAATTCTTTGGAAGAGGTAGCAAGCAGATTCATAGTATCCCACGAAAATAATAATAATAAAAAAAAGCTATGCTAAAGGAAACATGAAGAGAGTATTTTTTGAAAGTAAGTAAGAAGGACAATAACAAAAAATTATAAGCAGAAATAAAGGTATTAGCAATTAATTTTCCAGGCGTTTCACTTAAAATGTCACGCTAATACAATTTGCAAAATAAGCCTCCAAGAAGCAGTTATATTAATACAATTTTACGAAGGTAGAATTAACATCCCTGTGAAAAAAATTCTAATTTGCTGCCATCTGGTACATGCCATAAATGCATTATGATGATTCAGTAATTCTTTCATGCTACCTATCAACAAAACATTAGTTAGAAGATATCATACATGTAAACCCAATATTTTTGACTAGGAAATGGAAAAAATTTAGTGTTTTAAACCTAATTACAGTGACTAAGCACAAAACCCCTTCTGATATTAATTCCATAGACTCCAACATGCTCCAAATTTTCTATCAGAAAATGTACCAAACATAGAATAAAATTCTGTTATGAATTCATTTACCCCCCAGGACTATACATACAACTCTTTTTTTTTTCTGAAATATTGGCATGTATATCTGAGTTTTTCAGTTGAGGAGAAAAAGAAGAGAAGCGCAGGAGGGAGAGTATAACGGGGAATATGCATTAAGCGGAGTTACCAGAATGAAACAACAGTTTTTCATCCCTTGCTATCTCCCTGCATCTTGTGGACTTTATCAAAAGCACAGAGCATTGTTGAACGCATGTTTGCTATCTCTACAAGTGTCTCTAGCGCTGCAATAGATATATAATTTGTAGGGAAAGTCTCATCTTGTTCAGAATATGTTCAAGAGCATTGACTTAAGTGCACACCTGTCTCAAATGATAGCTGAGCTGCTCGAAGCTTTGGAGAAACTAGAGTTCCAAACACTGACAGTGATTTACATCGCTCTCTTTGAACCTAAATCAGAAAGAAAAAGATTCCAAAATGATTCCTTGTAATTTTTTTTTGTATATTCAATTCTACGACTTGTAAACAATCAATTGGACAAGAAAACCTTCCATAACTAAGCCCATGTAACAAATAAATCATAGAAAAGGATCTTTCGAATTAGCTCTGGAAACAACCAAAAGAAATATGCACAGCTACTTTCAAATAACAAAGATAAGCAGTCTCGAAAATTGTGAAATGAAATCAAAAGCAAAACAACAGAAAACATGGTGCAAGAGTTAGAAAAAAACACCACAATCCTAAGACTAAAGCAGGAATTTCCTTGTTGAAGTAAAAATTCAAAACCATAACCGAGAACAGTCAGAGTGATCAAATACGTACTTGGTCAACTTGATGTGAAGCTTTATTCTCATGTGAGGTCTTCTCCTCTTAACAAAAATAGAAGAAAGGAAAATGTAAGGAACATCCCATTAAGAGCATTTCAGGACAATGATGATTTGCAATTGGAATACTATATTCCTGTCATATGGTTTTAGCATAAAATTACCAAAGAATTACTCTAACAATAATGGTTCCTAAACTTTGTGTTTGCAAATACTTTCAATTGGTTGTAGTCTGTTGTGCTCTATTTAACTGCCAAAACGAGTGACTACTTTCAATATAGAGGGTGAAAAACATACCATAAAGCTGTGAACCACCCCTGCGTCGTGGCTGTGGTTGCAACTTGTCCTGGTCAGATTGTGTCTCTCCCAACAAGAGCTTTTCATTACCAGAAGATGCCCATTTGCATAATGTAAAGTGTGGTTCCATGGAGTCAACTATCACAGATCAAAAATCAAATAAGTTCCCTCACGGCAAAAAGGTAGAAAACAAATAAAACCATGACTAATATTTCAATATAAGTGAGAATTAAGTGACGGGGGGGTTTAGCCCTAGCTGTCAAAAACTCAATATAATAAACCATCTTAAGTATTCTTAAACAACTGCCCATAACCTCTTGTATTCCACATCCAACTGCCGTTAGGACAATCACACCATGTCCAGTGCTACACTATAACCTTCTCCAGTATAGTATGCAAAGGCAGGAACTTTTCTGCTTAAAACAAAAATTCACTATGCCGGATAACTTAAACCTGATTACTTTTGTAGATAAAACTGATGAATACCCTTTTCCTCATCTTGGGTTACAAGCAATGACGTAGAAGCAGGATGAAATTTGTGGTCCAACAAGACAGTATTGACACGTGAAACACCCATCGAATGCCGAGCGCTCGCTAGGTCCAGCCATCCCTGTGTTGGGTACATCGATTACTTCACTCAATGAAATTTGTAAGAAAAAAATTTATAGAAAAACTATACTAAAGAGATCAATGCTGCGCTGACATAAACAGGGACTACAAGTAGAAAAAGTAATCACCGGTGATGCTTTGATCAAAGCATCATCTTTCTTCACTTTGGTAACGAACCTAACTCGGATTACATGGAAATTCACTCATATTTCATTGTCAAAAGTATTTTTGACAACTGAAGGATGAAAAAGATCAAATTAAGTTAAAATCTTATCATTCATCGATCCGAATCGAATATCATCAACACAAACTAAACTGATGGGAACAATTTAGATCTAATATTAAGATTCAATTAGAAGAAAAAGAAACGATCTTTTACCTGGCGAAGTGTCGAAGATAAAGAATGAATAAGGGTCAGATAAGCGTCCAGGGAATCCATAAATTGCAAAACATTTGCACTCTGTTCTACTTCTTCTGCTAGTTGTTGTCGTTGCTGTTGTTCTACGATTGCTAATTCTTGTTCCACATTCTCCAAAATCGGCGTTTCCTGTTCCATCCTCTAAAATCCAGAAACACTCGATTATCTTTCTTCTTTCTCGCTCCAAAATCCCGAGTAGTCCCAACTTGGAACTAAATCAGTACGAGGTTGGGTTGCAACCTATAATATTGGGCCAGTTGGGCATTATCTCCCATGCTTCTGGGGCTCTATAAAGTCATTTTGCTTTTTTTGTTCTATAAATCTAATCCAAGTTGAGTATGAAATAGACGGATTGGATGATTCCCTGGAGTCTGGACTCGTAGAAAGAAGGGAGACAACAGATAACAAAACTCAAGTAGAGGCCCATAAACCCAATATCCTGGATTTTAGACACGGAAATACATATACGTTGGCCAGGCTGCCTCCCTCCCCTCTTTCTCTTGCCAAAGTATTGACTGAGGATTTTACTTGTTCTGACCAGATGGATTGACGTTGAATGTGGCTAAAACGCTGCTTGGAAACAGCATACATTGTTGAACTTGAAGCACAGTCAACGGGGGTGAGGTCACCGGAGATTGAATGATGAGTTGGTGCCTCCAAACGCCCACTCTCTGGCAGATGACTGACTAATCGTTTTTGCGTCAACTTTTTCTCTCTTCCAACTCTTATTATGTGATGATGGTTTCAAATAGCATTTTTATTTTTTAATTTAGTTTTCTCCATTGCTTGCTTCTTTTGTTTGTTCCTATTCTTTTTTTCTCAGCAAAATCCCCATCAGCACTTCCAACTTCAAGAAGCAAACCCTTATTCAAATCCTTCAAAAGTTTGGAATTTTAATCATTTCATGGAAGTAAAAGAACTTATGGGAAGAATCTACTTCTCTCCTTTAATACGAGAAGAGTTTTTCTGGGAATCTTCAAACTAAAACTAGGGTTTGCCAAGGTATCCTTCACATTCACTTTGTTTCTCTTCCAAATCACTAGGGTATGATTGTTACCTCTTTTTCTTGTTTCATTTCTTTCTCTTTTTATCAGCTGTGAAGTGCAGGGACGAAAATTTGCTACTTCCTAATCCAAATTTGTTACTTTTTAATTGGTTGGTTGGGGGGGGGGGGGGGGTAGTTGCTACTTTCTTCGATTTCTAGAGATTAATAATAGCTTGCAATTAGATTCTAGTCTAAATCCAGTGCCACTTCGACTTATTTAGATTTGTAAATTATGCTTTTGAATTGAGATGAGATTCTCTTTTCAATAGTTTTCATTTCTTAATGCCTTGATGATGTCCTGTAATGCTTTATTTTCATAATTCTAGAGAAGTACAAGTTGACTTCCTAATTCTGCAACAACCATTTTTGGCCATGCACTTAGTTGTTAGTTTTAAATTTCCCTAGTCTTCTGCATCACCTTGGCCAACTAATGGAGCGTGAAATTGGAATTATGTCTTCATTCTCTCTTTTCATATCAGAGCATAGCGTTGTTTTACTCTCACCTAGTAGCTCCTTAATTTTGGTTGAACCCTTGAGCTTTGATTGTGCCGTTTTTAATTTTTTTTCTGGCTTCCTTCTCACGGTTGTTATCTCATTGGCTATTGCAATTGCTATTCTCTCTGTTTATAGTGCAAGTTTTATTAAGCTGATTTTTTTATTAAGTTATTTTACCTCTTTGCAGTGACTATATTAGTCAGATGGCTGGGAGTTGGGACGGAAGTTATGACCCTGGCAGCCAGTCAGATGAGAGCTATCATTTCGAGAGACTGCACATTGAGCCCATTTATGATGCATTTGTTTGCCCTTTGACAAAACAAGTTATGCATGACCCTGTGACGTTAGAAAATGGGCAAACATTTGAACGTGAAGCAATTGAAAAGTGGTTCAAGGAATGCAAGGAAATTAGACGGAAGCTGGTTTGCCCATTGACCCTAAAAGAACTAAAAAGCACAGATCTAAAGTCTAGTATAGCTTTGCGGAACACCATTGAAGAGTGGACTACTAGGAATGAAGCTGCCCAGCTTGATATTGCTCGTAGATCATTAAATATGGGCAGTTCAGAAAATGATGTTCTGTTGTCTTTGAAGTTCATCCAACATATCTGCCAAAAAAATCGATCCAATAAGCATGTTGTATGCAATGCTGATCTAATACCTATGATTGTTGACATGCTAAAAAGCAGCAGTCGAAAAGTTCGGTGCAAATCTTTGGAGACACTCCGGGTAGTGGTCGAGGAAGATGAGGATAATAAGGTTGTTTTAGGTTTGATGTTTTCCTGTAGAGTGACAATGACATCATTTTAATGTATGCATCCAGGACTGTCTTATTAACTAATTATTTATGCTTTTTCAGGCAACATTGGCTGAGGGAGACACTGTGCGTACAATAGTTAAATTCTTGTCCCATGAGCAGTCCAAGGAGAGGGAGGAGGCTGTCTCTTTGCTGTATGAACTTTCAAAATCTGAGCCCTTGTGTGAGAAGATTGGTTCAATTAATGGAGCAATTCTTATATTAGTTGGAATGACAAGCAGCAAATCTGAGAATGTTTTGACTGTTGAGAAAGCTGATAAAATTCTAGAAAATCTGGAAAAGTGTGAGAACAATGTCAGACAGATGGCTGAAAATGGTAGATTGCAGCCTCTTTTGACCCAGATTCTTGAAGGTGCTCCTCTTTTCCTTGATATTTTTATTCTTTTCCTAACTTGTTACAAGCATACTGGTCCTTCATTTTTTAGATGCAGTCATGTACTATTGGCTTTGTCTATGTTTCATTCAAAAATTTTATGCTCCTTTTTTTTCATAATATCCTGCTGACATGATGCTATTTGTCAGTTAACTGCAGATCTTTTTATGGAATGGTGATTACCTCTAGTGTTCATACATAGCCCTTAGTTCATTTGTCCTAACCCTGAAACTCGCTAGTTATTTCTTTGCTGCTTACTCTGGAATGAAATATTTGCCTGCTTTAGGGGAATTTTCTCCATTTTAAATCTTAAAGTTGTTAAAATATATGTCCAGCTCCTGAGTCCTGACAACTATAGTTTTGAACATTTTCATATGCTAAACCTAGTTTGTTGCTTTGGCTTAGATGCTAAAGGATCTTCTAAATTGATTTTGGTGTTAAGTTTGTCTCGAACTTTTTAAACATACTCCGTGTTGTCTATCTCTGCAAACCTTGGCCTCTCTAGTTCATGGGGCATTTCATATTTGTAGTAATCTTCAACTTCATCTTAGTACTAGGAGTATTAATCTTCCCAATTGGCAGACACCATACATCAGGTTTTTGTTGTCGTCCTGAAGTGGTAGTCTTTCATGTTTGACCTCTGCAATTTCCATTCTAATCATGTACATTATATCTCTATATTTAATGTAAAATGGTACCGCTGCAGGGCCGCCTGAAACAAAGCATTCCATGGCAGCATATCTTGGTGAGTTGGTTTTGAATAACGATGTAAAAGTCTATGTTGCAAGAACTGTAGGTGCATCTCTAATCAATATCATGCAAAGTGGTAGCATGCAATCAAGAGAAGCTGCTCTGAAGGCTCTTAACCAGATTTCATCTTATGAGGCAAGCTCCAAGGTATTGATTGAGGCAGGAATACTTCCCCCTCTTGTCAAGGACCTCTTTATGGTTGGTATCAATCAGCTTCCCATGCGACTGAAAGAGGTCTCTGCCACAATTCTAGCCAATGTTGTAAACTCAGGATATGATGTAGACTCCATTCCTATTGGGCCGGACCACCAGACTCTTGTTTCTGAAGGCAATGTCCAGAACTTACTTCATCTAGTCAGCAACACTGGTCCACCAATTGAGTGCAAACTTCTTCAAGTTCTTGTTGGACTCACTAGCTCTCCGAAAACAGTTCTGAATGTTGTTGCTGCAATTAAAAGCTCTGGGGCTACCATCAGTTTGGTTCAGTTTATTGAGGTTCCGCAGAAGGATTTGCATGTGGCATCCATAAAACTTCTCCAAAACCTCTGTCCTTACATGGGTCAGGAATTAGCAGATGCACTACGTGGCACAGTTGGCCAGCTCAGCAGCCTAATTAGAGTCATATCAGAAAATACGGGAATTTCTGAAGAACAGGCAGCAGCTGCTGGCCTCTTAGCTGAACTCCCAGAGAGGGATTTGGGCGTCACAAGGCAAATGCTAGATGAAGGTGCTTTTCAATTGATCATCTCTAGAGTTGTCAAGATCAGGCAAGGAGAGATTAAGGGCACCCGCTTTGTAACACCTTTCCTTGAAGGACTTGTTCATGTGCTTGCAAGGGTTACTTATGTCTTGTCAGACGAGCCTGATGCTGTTGCCCTTTGCCGTGAGCATGGCCTTGCTGTGTTATTTATTGAATTGCTTCAGGCCAATGGTCTTGACAATGTGCAAATGGTTTCTGCCACAGCTTTGGAGAACTTATCTTTAGAATCCAAAAATTTGACGAGATTGCCAGAGTTGCCAGCACCTGGAGTTTGTGCTGCTATCTTTCCATGTTTCAGCAAACAGGTTGTCATAACAGGATTGTGCCGTGTCCACCGGGGAACATGTTCTCTTAGAGAGAGCTTTTGTCTTTTGGAAGGACAAGCCGTACATAAATTGGTTGCTCTCTTAGACCATACAAATGAGAAGGTGGTTGAAGCAGCACTTGCTGCACTTTCTACTTTGTTGGATGATGGAGTTGATATTGAGCAAGGAGTGACCGTTCTGTGTGAGGCAGAGGGAATTAAGCCAATACTTGACGTGTTACTTGAGAAACAAACAGAGAAGTTGAGGAGAAGAGCAGTTTGGGTAGTTGAGAGACTTTTAAGGACTGATGATATAGCCTATGAAGTTTCTGGAGATCAAAATGTGAGCAGTGCCCTTGTTGATGCCTTCCACCATGCTGACTACAGAACCCGGCAGATTGCAGGGCGTGCCCTGAAGCACGTTGATAAGATCCCAAACTTCTCTGGCATTTTTCCAAACATGGGATAGAATTTTCTTGCATTGCTCATGCCTTTTTCATAATTGGGTGAGTATAGCAACCTGTATGTAGTGTATCCTTTGGCAAAAGCTGTTTCAGTCCCATACATGGAGGCAGGCATTCAAGCTGCAAGTAGATATTGCTGTAAACGGGTTTCCCACTTGTATAGGGTTTCAAGAAAATGTTTCATTTGTTCTTAACGATGTTATTTTCATTGATCTTCATTTCTTTATACGAACTAGTATTGTTTTGGCATTGAGTGGTATGATAGGCCTTTAGTTCTTTTAATGCCTTTAGAGTTCCAGGCGTTTATCATCTGAAGTTGTTTGCTTCAAGGTGGTGGATCATTAGTAATTAGTAATGGGCTACAGCATGTAAGACCGTTTTCATTTCACAACTTTAAACGCAAATATGGGGGAAAGGTCGTGACTCGTTTACTAGTTGCGGGTGCTCACTGCCGCAGTGAATGCTAATTCATGGCAAAGATTCCTTCTCCAGGTTTCACTATAGCGGGGATTCCTCTGTCTATGATGTGTTCTCAGATTCACGACAGTCCAACGCTGGAATTATATACTTAATCGAATCTATTCCAAAAAAAAAAAGTTAAAACTGAAAAAGGATGCATATTTCATTTCTTTTTCTCGCAGACGGACAATGCTTCCAATAAAAGCTTTTAGATATTCATAAATCATTTGTCGGGAAATTATGCTTACAAAATTATATATAAAAAAGAAGCTCCACATTAGAAGTTTGAAACAGGTAAGCTCAAGGTCAGTTCATTTAATGGATGCCCCAACAGGATAGTGTGGGATAATTAGCATTGACATCCATCCTTCAATTTCCAAATTCAAGAACCATGGTCTGGTGCTTTCGGATCCTCATTTTTAGACAAATTTGAAAGCTTTCTAGAAATTAGAATTTCAATTTTTTTTTCCGGAAATGATCGCCGCAACTTGATCAAAGCAAACAAGAAAAACCAACAAAATGAATGAAATGATTAAGCCAGAAATTTATCACAGATGCCACAAAAACAAGACCGAAAAGACAAAATCAATTTATGAACAATGGTGAAGAAATTACAATGAAGCCTACAAGTGACCACCTTTGCTGACTAAATAAAAACTAGATACCAAACCGGAGGAAGTCGTCATTGTACATGTTGTGGAAATTCAAAGAAATAAATATGAAATTCATAGGTTGAAATGCACGTGCAAAATCCCCCAATGATCAATAATGTTCTAAAATTTTCTGATTAAATTATAGTGCATTGCAAAGTCGTTATAAATGTAGCACCGCCATTCTCTTAGTCATGCAAGAAGAAGCATCTAATTCATGAGCCATGTGATTCCTAGAAATATGGTTCCAATTCATCTCCATATCAGACGCATCACACACGGTGAAGAAATCCAACACCTGACCAAATATTTTGAACATTTCAACCCCAAATACTAGGTTCCTGTCAGCAACAAAAGCTGGGTTCCAGTCCATTGGAGCATCGGGGTGCACAGAGACCTCAGTCCATGTAAGATACATGAGATCTAGCTCCCACAATTTTCTCACGGCCTTGTTTCTCCTACCAATTTGCCCATCTCCCTCACACCAAGAGACAGAAAGCATAAACAAGCGACCATTACAAGAAACGAGTTTTGGGTAGTACTCATGAACACAGGGAGGAAATGTAGAGGTTTGGATTCCAATCCAGAAGCCTCTTTCTATGTCATAACCCGCTAACTTATCATTCTCAGAGCAAACATAAAACATTCCATTACAAACAACCCCAGCACAAACGACGCCAAAATCTATAGGTAGCTTCTGGATTTCAGTCCATTTATTTGATAGAGAATCATAGATTTCACCAGAATCCAATGGCTCATCCCAACATCCAAGACCTCCTACGGCAATCAACACAAATTTTTTACAACCTTTTATATTTGATTGTTCACTTCTTTGTCTCATAAACTTGTATGATTTTCTATTGGGTAACAATGAAGGCTCATTTTCATCAAAAGCATTTCTGTACTGACATCTGAGTGAAAGCCTGTGAGGATCCTCATAAACATCTGACACCCCACCAACTCGTGATCTGGGAAACCGCCTATCATGTCGATTCTGATGGCTTTGAATGATCAAGAAATCTGAACTGACCTCAGATATTCCTAAAATAGGCATTGATCTAGCATACCTCATAGATGAAACTTTACGCCAAGATTTGGTGAGAGGGCTAAAGACCAATACACCTTTGTGAGTCTTGAATGAGCTCCTATCCATCCTCCCAAAGTTGGTTAGGCTTGAACAACCTCCAACAATATAAACATCATCCTGTATACTTGCAACTGAGAACATGAACCTTCCTCTGAGGATACCAGCACCAATCCTATGCCATTGATCCTGAGATACATCCAGTGCATGTATCTCCCCAGAGCAATAGCCATCTTTAACTGCACCAAAGAGAAACAACCATGGGTTCTGATATGAACCTTCTCGTCTCATCCGCAAAAATCGAGGAGTTGTAGTTAAGTGTCTCCATTTCTTGCAGACTAGGCGGGCATTCATAAGACTGGTCAGTGGTAGTCTCACCAAGCACATCTCTAGAATGTCATCTGGAAGAAAGATATGCATCCTGCTGTTTCGTACAGATTCCTCAAGTTCTAACTCTTTTCTATTGTTTTTCTTCCAAAACTTCTCCTTCATCCCATATGAAAAGCAATCAAAATTATTGTCCTCAGTACCACAAATTGGTTTGTACACCTTTCCTTCTTCATTGGCACTTGACCTTCTCCTGCTACTTGGATCACCAAATTCCTCACTCGTGTCAGCACCAACTTTGCAACCACCACCTCTGCCATATAGAGTAAGACATTTCAAGGCAACCCCTCTCACCTTATCCTCTTCCTCCGCTTCACCTCTATAGTTTTTTTTCTTCAACTTCTGGCTAACACTCCTCACAAGCCGTTTTGACACAGTCAGAGCCTCAAAATCCTGACGAAGTGACTCTTCCCCACTCACACTCTCAGCGAACATTATGGTCTTCGCCTCAGGGCATGCAAAGGTGCACACCCATTTCTATCTTGCTAGCTGCATTTTGGTTAATTACACTCTTGTCATCTACAAGAAAAAAAGATGATGACATTGCAGCCAAGAATGGAAGAAAAAACAAAGGGGGGGGGGATAAACATGAAGCTACGAAATAGCAATTCCGAAACAAGACAGAGTGAAACCCTTGCCTGTCTAGTACTGAGAGTAAACAAGTTAATCAGAGAAGAAAGAGTCAAAGCAGACGAATATCCAAATGACTAGAGCAAAGACGAGAGACTTGATTTGAATCACGGGAACTTTTAAACAGAAATAGAAAAGAAGGCAAAGACATATGAAAGCAATAAATTACGGTAGAATTCAGCTAAAAGGAAGGATAAATTGTGGTTTACAGATCAATGGACTCCATCTTCTAATAAGAAGATTCATAGGATCCTAATGAGTTGGGCAGAATTTGTTGCCCTTTTCATTTAAATGTAAATTACTTACTAGTACTAATTTAGTTAACAAAGAATGATTAATTAGCTACAATAACGGTATTAAAAATGAAAACAAGGGAAGGGACTTACATTGCAGGAATGAAAGATCACAAGTGCAATCAAGAAAAGCGAAATAACTAAACACCAAGGGATGGATGGATGGATGGATGGATGGATGATCAGCATTAGCATTGAATCCAGAGAAACTGAATCCACAAAAAAAAAAAAAAAAATGATGGTTGGTATGGGCACAATTGGTAAAGCGACCCGATTTCAAAAAACAAAAAAATTGGTAAAGCGACTCTGCACTGATTGAAAAAGCGACCCTTCGCTTTCCCATTCTCTGCCTCTCCTTTATTATATTAATTATTCTTCTTACAGTTACGTCAACGTTTATCGCGCAACGGCTGTGAGGTTATTCAGGGTAACAGCCACTCATCCTTCCGTTTCTTCATTTATAATATAAATATATATGTATATATTTCTAATCTTAAAACCAATATAAAAAACCGCTTAGTCTCGGTTTGGTTCGGTACTTTAATTAGAGCACGTTTAATGCAGGTGGGTGAGGGTGAGTGACAAAGCGAAAAGCTGGGTGTGAGAGTAGCGGTCAATTATCTATGGTGGTTAGATTCGTGGACCCAACCCAAGTGTCTGTCTTGGTTTTATTTTTTTGGTGAATCAATAATCATCATAAAATTAAAATTGAGTCCTGACAGGATTTTTACTGTAGCAATTGCTTTGAATGCTATATTTCAATCATATTATTTTTAATTTAAGAAATCCCACAACAACAAACTTATGCTGCAAAATTTGAGATAATGAACATTTTAACAGAAGCAGCAGTTGACATTTTATGGCATTCCCATTTTTGTTGTTTGGATATTTACCGAAAGGCTCAGCTCTGTCGTTTGAGATTTGTACTTTTTACACCCACTAACATCTGAAATGATCGTTTTTTGCTATATCCCTTGTGAGTAATGAGTTTCAAAAGGGATTTTTTTTTTTTATGGTTGGCACGAATTCGTTGCCACTTAGACCTTCCTGATCGTTGATCGTAATTGCATAAGTATGGCATCTGACGCTGGAATTAATGCTTACTCTTCATCAATGGCTAAGTGATAACTTTTCTAAAAATTTTATCTTTTGTTTAGTCAGGACAAGCAAGCTTAGAGCTGTTCAACTTTTGCATGGGCTTTGCGAAAAGATGCAAGATTACACTCTTGAAAAGGTAGCTCTTACTTGGACTCTATTTCTTCCTTACATTTTTCCACTTACGTTTGGAGAACACATCTTTAAAAATACACATGCTGTTCTGTTTTCATTGAAATTTGCTAGGATATTTATCAGAATATGTTTTAGAAACTGTGCCATAAAAAAATTATTATATTGTAGCAACAGATACTGAACTTGTGGCAGCATTGACAAAATACGCAAATTTATAGTTTCACTCTTGTGTTTGTATGTAAATTGTCCATATTCTCCGGCAACTGTTTTACGGTTGATTGTTTCGTTTTGACATAGCTTATCTAGACATGCAGGTGCATGTTCATGTCCCTTTCCACTTTGCAGATAGATTCATCGCGACGAGAGTGGATTAAAGTGGATAACTGGGACATCCTCACTATTGGTATGGATTCTTTTTTCTGTAATGGTAGCATAAATAATCTAATTGTGGTTGTTGCATCCTAAAGATTGCTGGTGAAGGCTTTGATCAATCATGACCAGTAATAGAAACTGAAATCATATCTTTCACTGCAAATGGTGATTGGTCTCGAAATCAGATTTTGGGCACTAAAATTCATGAACTTGATCTTTGATTCATACATTTGCACACATTGTTAATATAAACGAGGAATAAAATGCGCATGTATGTACCTTCTCTCTCTGTATATTACTCTTTCCTTCCTTCCGCTCCACTTCCACACCTTCCCTTTCAGGCATGGAAGCTTAAATTGTTCTTGTTGGATTTGATATCCGGTAGAAAAAGACAAACTAGAGTGCTATTATCTTATAGTTTGGAAGTTGCTCAAAACAATAATAGCACTATAACAATACGGCGGTCTCATACCAAGGACATATTCCCATTTTAAACTCGAATTACTGCCTCTGTCAGTGTTAGAGATGAGTCGGAAATCTTATATTGCTTGTATATTAGAATTAGGGATGAGTCGGAAATCTTATATTGATTGTATATTAGAATTATTCATGGGATATAAGAGTTCATATCATTTTTTTCTTGTGAGATGCTTTTGTGAAACAAAATCACGAGATCAAAAAAATTAAAGCGGATAATATCTTAAGTGTGTGAACTATAATAGTTAAACTAATCTGTGACGTTGATGAATCAATGTCTAGGTCTTGGAGTCGCGTGGGCCTAAACGTTAAATTTTGACTTGTGACAAGTGGTATCAAAACCAGCTCTGAGAGTACTAGAGATATGACATCGAAGACGGTGGGCTTTCTTTAGAGTGAAAAAGATATCACTGTCCTAAAGAAAAACCATGAATCTCATATCTATTGTATACTAAAATTGATTATGAAATATAAGAATTCTCACATAGGCTGTATATTAAAATTGATTATGAGATATAAGAGTTCACGTCATCTTTTTCTTGTGAGGTCTCTTTCGTGGAACAAAATTAAGTTGATCGAAGCGGATAATATTTCATAAGAGTGTAAACCCTGAAACCAAAAGAACTGGACAATATTTTACAAAAGTGTGAACCTTTGACAATTAAATTGATCTGAGACACCAAATGAGTCTATACCAGAGCCTTAGAACTACACAACTTGAAGATTGAATCTCGGTCTATGACACCTGCATCAATGCACTAGCAGCGTTTTCATGAACGCTATGTCTTTGACAAATCAGATTTGCATGTGGCTAGTTGATATGGAAAAACGTCATAACAATGGGCGGGGTACCCATACAACAAGAACCAATAATGTAACCAATGGTCAACGATAGCAATTATTTGATTTAGTGAAAGAGGGCTGGAACATATCTCTCAAGATTCAGTTTATTTACAGAGTAAGCAGATGAAGAAGAAAGAAAAACGGTTTGAACAATGAGTCCTGCCAATCTGTACAACATGAGTTATCTCAGATGTACAGGATTTAAAAACTCAAAAAGAATCATATTCTACATGATAAGGATGTCCCTGAATGAGGATGAATGTCAGCCATGGTGAAGGGGACAGCTGAAGCTACTTGGGGGAAAAATGCCACGACTATTTCACCCTCCAATGTGGTTTACGCACAACCTCTTTCAACTATCCCTGTTTCATCAGTTACAGTCCAGCACACCCTTCAGTAAATTCAGCCCTTCTGCTGATATGCTCCTCCGAACACGGGATTGTGGTATTTCTATTCGAGGGGGCGGATCAGCAGAAAAACAAACCACAACTACTGTTAAATTATCACAAGTGTTGCGCTTCAGTGCCTCCCTGACAAGCTCTCTTGAACATCTTTCAGGATCATTATGAAGCATCAGCTCTTTCCTTGCCATAGTCACAGCACACTGACTGCTCATAACATCCCACAACCCATCACATCCCATTATTAAGAATTCATCTTCCTCACTCAGGTCTGTCTCCTGCAGCTCCGGCTCTGCACTTAAAGGACAGGCAGATCCTTTTAGCCCCTTCATATGCCAGTCTCCAAGTGCACGTGCCACAGATAATTGACCATTGAGGTAGCCATCGTAAATGACTCCGCCAAGTTTCTCAATTCTTAGTCTTTCAGATGTGCAATTAGGTTTGTGGTCCCTGGACATTTCAATTGCTCTACCTCGCCTTCCCAGCACAGCTCGACAATCCCCAGCATTTGCAATTATCAAGGTCCTATAAAGAGAAAGTTGATGTTAGAGTCTTGGAGGCAGCCAAATCCTGACTTTCAGAATGCAGAATACTCAAGACTACTAGCAGACCTCGAGTTCAGGTTTGACTGATGCATAATGTTAAACACAACAGTGGGTTAGCATTTCCCAATGATGTCAGAAATAAATATTTTATTTCTCCTGTACCTCTAACTTGCTTTTGCTAAGCAATTAAAATTCATTATAAACTTATTTTCCACTTAACCTCAAATAATGAACCCCATATTAAGTTTCTAAGATAAAAAGGATCCCCATTCAATTCAACAATGTATGCAAGTTTCAACATACTTGAACTTCTTCTGCAGAATTCTTGCAATGTTAAACTCTTCAAATCTTAGCCTTTTGTCCCTGCTTCTTCTATATTTTCTTTACAACCAAATTTGTAAAACGAATTGATGAATGATGGCTTGTTTCAATGCAGTACCTTTTTTATGTCAATGACTCAATGCACAGGATGTTAGGCATCTGAAACCCAAATAATGGCCAGCCAAGCTAGAAGAGGATTTATGGAAACAATGTCAAAAAGGAACATTGCTAGTTCAGATCTGTGGTTCACTTACCTTCCAAAAATAAGTGCAGTTAATGCAGTGGTGCCGGAGGATGTATCAAGAGAACTAGCATCTGCAAATGCATAATCAGCTTTCAGAAAAGCACTCTTGATTGCCTTTTCCACACAAATTGGAAAATGGGAGTCTTCAATGATGAATTTAAGGATATTCTTCCTAATAAATATAGCTGCATCTGTTCCTCCGTGACCGTCAAAAACCTGTCCATGTTTAGCAAGAATGAATTCACCAGTATGGCCAACAATGTTTCCTAAACTACCTTCCATGGTAATTGTACATAGAATAAAACTATCGTGAGTTGATTCCTTAAACTTAACAATGAAGTGCGAGTTATAAAGAGGCAGCAGATCAAAGCAAAAAGATATTATAAAGTAATATTCATCTATCGAAAAAGGATTGAGTAAATGTGCAAAAAACGTGTGAGATTGCTACTGTAGTATCAGGCTGCAGTTTACAATGTCAAAGACAATGATGCGCCTAATTCCTACATCTTTTTTTTTTTTTTTGAACTGGACAAAATCTCCAGGCTCCATTTTCTTGAATTGTATCATGTTTGAAGCACCGCCAAACTTTCTATATTAAATGATATAGGCAGAAGCTAAAGCTATATCAATGAGGACACATGTAATTCAACAACCATGTCAGACAGTCTGAAGGCAGTGCATAAATGAAATACCACACAAATTAGACAAAGTTTCCCATTTTAAACGAGAATCAGATGGTTCACCAAAAGATGACTTATTAACCACCCTTGTGAGGTCATATATGGTAGATTCAAACATGCATACCCCGTAGAAAGCTCCTGGAGAAGGAAACTCTGCAGTTGCCCCCAGATGTCCAATAAGATCATCTATGCAAGTGTGTTCATCCTCCATATACTGTTTGGGTCCTATTTCAGCACAGCTTCCTGATCGCAACACGGGCAAAAACTCGGTTTTTTCAACAGAAGATGACTTGTGGACTACAATACTAACATCCAATTCCTAAAGAAGAAAAAAGAAGTGTGTGAGAAACGGAAATGAAAGATTATATGGAATCTTGTAGCTACTTAGATTAAACTAGTGGCAGGAAACTCCTAAATATGATTTATCTTCTGTCACTTATTATGCACGAGAACATCAAATGAAAACAATGTAAAATCTTGCTCAAGTAGATGATTTTTAACAAAATATAAAGAGTTTTAAAATTTCTCCAATTGATAATCCTTATTTTCTACTAAAATCTAGATCAAATTGGAGGAAGTGGCAAAAGTTTAAGCAGAACAAATGCAGGTCTACAAGGCCTTAGATATGCATCTTCAGGATGAAATCATTTATTCCCAAAAGTGTCAGCAGGTTTTTATGAGCAAAAAAAACCTAGATCATCAGGATCCAAATGGAGTTCAATTATTTGTGAATTTTCCAAGTAACTTTAAACTAATTAATAAGCCATATGATAAATGTTCAGATTTTATAAAAGGCTCTTAAAGCTCAGGCTTCTACAAATCCATAATGATCGAAAGGGTGATAAAGAAAGACAAAACATACCAAATTAGCCTCAGCAATCAGCCTCGCTGAACTCACACAATGGCGCATAACTGAGAGGTGGCGCGGAGGTTTACCAAGATTCACTTGTTTCACGATATCCAAATTTTCATTTTCCATGTCAGATACATTATCCTTACTAAAACCACCTTCTATGATTGCTAATGGAGGTGAAAAATCCTTTCCCAACCATAAAAAAAAGACCTTGGAGAACCCTTTCAAGTTATTAAAAAAAAAAAAGAAACCCTTTCTTTAAAATTTTTGGAGCAACTACTCAAAAGGTTCCAAAACAACCAAATCCTACAGCAACTTCTCAGAAATGTTCCCAACAAAATAGCCCAACTTAATTTTCTTCAGACAAAAACAAAGTCCACGGATAAAAATAACTAATAAAAATCACCCAAGCGATCAAATAAGTTGACGAAATTCCAAGGAATCTTATATTTTGCGCATCAGATTTACTTGACAACAATTCAGAAAACCAATTCGTTGAGGAAAGCTGTAATAATTTTAAAATATGGAATCAGAGTCAACTCCTAGATCAAACTACCCTTAGCCAGATAGTCATCAAAATCCAAACTTTATATGATGACTAAGCCCTCAATTACCTTTGATCAAGCTATCCAGCAAACCATCAAAAAATTGGATTTTATAATAACTTGAAGCAGTCGCCAAAATTTCTCCAAAAAGAACCCCTGATCATAACTCCAAATATTCCCACCAAATCGATGAAAGCAACAACATCAGAATATTCATTCAAGGTAAAAAAAAAAAAGGCAGACGATTACCCCAATAAAAGGAAAGAAACAACAAAGCTCCAACGATTGGAGGAAAGCTCTGAAGAAAAGCAGAGAACCTCTCACAAAGGGTGAATATTATGATTCTTTGTGCTTTGCCTTTTCTCTTTCGTTTCCCTTTTTTCTTTTTTTTTTTTAGTATTTTCTCGTAAGGTGACCCAATAGAAAGAAAACCCCCAAACAGAGAGACGCAAAAGGTGTTGAAAAGAGAGAATTGGACCAAGAAAATGGAAGTATGCTGGTTGCTATGTGGTTGGCCACCGGCGATTCCAGGTAAACCGGTGGTTCTACTAAGCTGTCGCGGGTCGAGGATGCCGTTTAGCCACATGGCTTTCAATGATTGGTGGGATCTCTTTGTTGACCAGATGGTGTTTGTTTTGTTAGTTGGCGCCAGAGCTTCCCAGCCGTTGGATCTCTGTGCTGCCCTTTTTAACGCTTTAAGAGATGAGAGGTTAGGTTTGTTAACGTCCGTTAACGGAGCCTCGGATTCCCGGGGGGGACGTGGCAGGCATTTATTGAAAGGAAGTTAGTATTTCGGCTAAGATAGAAGTAGGACTAGAACAGTCGCTTTAAATAAATAAACAAATAATAATAATAATAATAAGAAGAAATAGAGGATGAGTGATGAGGCGGCGATTGAGAAGCGATGCCAACCATTATGTCATCCCTGGAACCGCCTGTCATCACCGTTGTATTTGTAGTAGTATGATTGACCATCATCGTGTATCCTATGGTGATATTGGATGTTGGATGTCGGATGATGGATGATCTTGATTCTTGGAGGCTGCTGGATTTTCTATTTAAGGGGGGAAAAAAAAAGAAGGAATGAATCAATGGAGGATACCCTTTGAAGCTAGCATGCACTCGACTTGACTGGTCATTGGAATCTTCCAACAGGCCTTGCTTTTGATGATTAAGTAGTATTTATTATTATTATTATATGATTAGCCGAGTTAATAAATGTGACGTCTATCGTGTGTCACAAGCAGCAAAAGCATACGTATGTCTATTTGCTCGTTGATTGATAAATATGTCTATTTAGTTACTATAATAATAATAATAATAATAATAGTTTTTATTTGAAATGGATTTATATATTGTTAATCATATATAGTATAATATAATAGCATTAAGAAAAGAAGAAGAAAGAAAATGGAATGACTGTTTTGGATCTAGCTGAAGTGGGCCTTAAACAAACAGAAAATAGAAATGCACTGGGCCTAAATGATGGTTCAATAAACGAGGACAACAACTCAACTCCACTCTTATCCGTGTAGCCAATTGGGCCAAAGAAAAGGTCAGACTAAATCCTAGTAAAGTATTACTTTCGGCTTCTGTCTCATATATAGAGGCAGCGGTCGATACATCCTGTACTGCTCAAGTTGATGGTTCTTGCCAAAAACAGATAACAAAAAGGAGCTCAAGATGACTGCCAAATTATAGGCTGCATAGACTGAGGCAGATTGCAGGAGATGCTATCCTTTCAGTTGTGTCCTGGGATATGAAATAATTTGCAACTTGTTTGCTATCATTGCAGGTTTATAAGCTTCTCAACTCTATTTTTTGCCACAGAAAGTCAAATTCCCACTATTATAAAATATATATATATATATATATATACACACTGTATTCTTATGGCAAGCCAGAAGTGGTATATATATATATATATATATATGATAAATTTGATTAAGCTGACTACTTTATTCCTTCTGCAGTAGAGAATACTATATATGAGCACCCTTGGCAGGCTAGTGCTAATTAAGTATACGGCTTTACTCGAGTTACACTGCATGTCTGACATCAATCCTCACAGTGCAGCAGTTATCTTCTCCAATTAAAGTAATTGAAAGCTTGATAGCAAGTTATGAGCCTTTTGGATGTCAAGTAGGTTCTTTTGCTGAACTGAAAGTTATCTAAAGTGAGGAACTCTACATATCTAGAGCTTCTAGGATTTAATAGCCTAGCTAAGATTCCCGCCCCCTAGAAAGAGGAAGAGCTTTTTCAAGTGGAAAAAGCCTTTAATTGCGGACGCATTGAACTATTTAACCACGTGCCAATGTCTGCCTTGTTCCGTAAAAAGACCCTTTTGCAATGCAAACAAATCGACCAAATATTCAATGACCTTAGGACATTCGACCAATTTTGTTTTTTCGGCGGTCACCAAACCAAAACTCGTTTCATTTCATAGATAATATTGAACTTATAATCTCACATTGCTTGAATTTCAAATCAATAATACTAACAGCAAGCAACCACATTTAGCCTTTGTCATCCATTCCTCTGTGAATCACTGATGAGGGTACCGGCATGTTCCATAATCTGATCAAGAAAGCGAAGCAGATTAAAGAAGAGAAAAAAGAAAGAAAGAAAGATAGAATTAATTTAGAGAAACTAATTAAAACGGCCTGAAATTATCACGCTAAGTCAATAGGAAAAAAGAAATATTATCTGAAAAAGTGTTGCTCTCTTTCTCTGAATTCTTACTTGGATCACTGAAGCTGACAATCCCGGTACCCTTCAAATCACAGTTCCAATAATTCCTCCCGCGCATCTGATGGTAAGCATTCATGGCAAAAGATGCATGAGCATGAAGCTTGTCGGGATCAAAACAATTTCCACTTTCATAAACTTCCCTGCAGTCCACTCCTCCAGGGCCGCAGCAAAATTCCAACACAGCTTGAAGCACTTTCCCATCTGCATGTGGCTTAGCGACGCACCAAACTGACGGACCCCTTGCTCCACTTGTTGACATCTTCTCAAATGTGCCCCCACTGCTGCAGAATTGGCAGCTCAAGTGCACATCGTACACCTTAGACCCATCCCAATTTAAAATGCCGAAATTCTTCTCACTGCCCCACCGCCCCCTTGTTTCTTGTTCTCAATAAACAAAGCAAACACAAGTATCTCTATGGTATCCTTAGGCTTCATGGGCGTCCCTTCATTAGACTGCGCACGTTCAATCAACCTGGTATTATAAGTCTTTGCATTATCCGGAGTAGCTGCTTTTTCTCCGGGATCTCCTTTCGACGGCCACGCTGATTCTGACACTCTAATCTCTATCGACAGATTACCAAAGCCAACAGCATCGATAGCTGACCTAATAGCATCAATCTGCGCATCCAGCATATTATGATAGAGGTAACCCTTAGGGTCATGGACCCTAGTCTAGTTCCATAGCAATGCATACTCTAAATCAACTGTGCTGGGGTTATCCCTATATGCAAAATAAGGATAAGCATTGACCATGAAAGGTGCACCGTTATCAGCCAAAAACCCAACTATAGAGCTCGTGGTGGGGAGAAGCTTGGTAGCAAAGGTTGAAGCTGAGGGTGGAAATGAGGAAGCAAGAACCGCCATACTATGTGGCGTGGTGACCTTGATCTTACGGTCTAGACCACGTTTTAATAATACAGCATGTAAGTTCTGCATGGCTTGCACCAGTGCATCAGAGTCTAGATGGTCATCTGTGGTTATAAACTCATTGCCTACACAAATAGCTACAATGGAAGTAGCTGGTATAAAGGGCACCACACGAGTAGCGAACCGCTCATCGGTTGCGGCCACGTCCCTGCTTATGTTTGCTACGTGGTAGTTTTCAACAGCAACAATAAGGTCTATACCGGTGTTAGAAAAGGCTTCAAGGATTTCAGGGTTGGTGTCATTGATTTACACTTTATCTATGACTGTGGATTGGAGGAGCTGGGCAACTTTCTTTGGGGAAGGGACATTGTTCCCTAGAGTACCATAGTTAATGCCAACGCTAGAAACGTAAGATAATGGGCTGAGAAGGAGGAGGAGGGAGAGTGGCAGGACATGACCGAGGTAGGGAGCAGCCATTATTCGTGGTTCAAGGATCAAGGGAATGTGTTGAGTGACTGCATGATTTTGTTGCTAGCTAATGTAGTGAAGATATGTAGGTTTACTCGCATGAAATGCCACTGGTTTTCAAAAGAATTACTCACATTATTAGTACTAGTATCGTGTGCAATTACTAATTATACATTAATTATACAATAGCTGGAGCAGGTTGCAATTTCATTCCCTTCATCAAATCATGCCCCCCTCCACAGAAATTTGGACCACATGATCAGATATGCGGGGACAGAATATCAGGCAAATTTCAAACGAGAAACAGTGCATTCTACTTTTCTTAGTCAAATTATATATTATCACTACTGATGTTGGTGGATCCCAATTCTAGTTGATGGCTGATACGGGCTCGGTACAGGGATAGGAGCATGGCTTCTTCCTTGGGATCCAACTATATCCAGGATGGGAAGCAATGTGTTTCCAGGTATGAAACGCGTCTCAAGATGAAATTAGAGTTTTCTAGCGTGCAGAAAATAAATACAAAAGAAGAAAAGGGAGGAGTTGATCTAAAAAGCCCTCGATCTGTCTAAAGTCTGAAGCTACTTCAACCGTTGAACTCGTAATTTTATGCTTTCTTGCCTGCCATTCTTTAAAAAAGAGACTAAAGTCAGGAAAAAAAAGCCTGCAAGCGTTTATTTATCCCAACTGAAAATATGATCAATCAATTTTCTATACGTTGTAGTATTATGATAAGCAGAAAGTATAAAATTGCGGTTAACCCATGCAGTATATATATATATACTGCTACTTTATCATCACAGGCTGTGAATCTATACAACTTGACTTTAAAACTCCTTAAAATATAAAACTGGTTCACCTGTTTCTATGCCAAATGGGCAACCCAGCTTCTTACCAATTATTAGTAGTGCTAGACAGACTGCTCTGACTTTATCATCACAGGGTGTGAATCTATACAACTTGACTTTAAAACTCCTTGCTAGTAGTATTTTTTAATTTTATTGCAAATATATATATATATATATATATTTTGCCATATATATATATAAGCGTTTATATATATATATATAGCAATTTAAGTCTCCCTGCACTGGACTTGCTCTCTTTTTCAACCCGATTCTTTTGCCATAACTTGCAGAAAAATCCATCATGCGTCGAATGTGATCCCGTAGTATTAGTAGTAGTAATTTTGAATTTGAACCTAAAGCAGGAGGGTTATCTAGGTCTGACTAGATCTCTGGACTTCTTAAATTAACTATTCAGATTTTCTAATTCCATGAAAGTGTTTTTTTTTTCTTTATAATATCATATTAATGATAATAAATAATTTTTTTATACTATGATAATAATGATAAATACTAATAATTTAATTTTGATTTTGATATAATATAAGTAAAATTCGATAACTTTTGATATAATTTTGATTTTAATGACTTTTCATAAAATTTTGATAACTTTCTATACAATTTTGATAACTTTAATACAATTTTGACAACCATTAATACAATTTTGGTAATTTTTGATAAAATTTTAGTAACATTTTGATATAATTTTAGTAATCTTTTAATAACTTATGATATATTTTTGATAATTATTGATAAAATTTATGTCATCATTTATTTAATAATGGATTCTTACAGGAAAGTGCAAGTTCAATTTTAGGATAAGATAAATTTCTTTTTATACAATAACATTATTGTTTTATTCAAATTTATAATTTTTGTTCACTAAATCTTTTTAGTGAATAGGTTAATGATAGATTTATCCTCATCTCCCAAGATAAAATT